ACAAAATGCTGGCTAATCCCAAGCTTAGACCAAGCCTTTGCTGAAATTAGTCACAAAATATAATCTGTACCTATTTCTACCCCGGATTTTTGCTTTAAACATCCTTGAGTTATCTATTCTTAATTCTTAATCTTAGCTAATATTGCTTTTCACAGAAAATGATCATTGATCTCTCAAGAACCCATGACTTTTCCGAATCTAAAAGAGCCAAAACCTTTTCTCTTCCGAACTATCCCTCTTTTCAATCAGAGAAGTAAAAAAGAGCGGTCAAAGCAAAGAAAACACTGTTTACTATCGATTTTATTCCCGATTCGTGTCTGATTCTTTTTCCCTCACGTTTTTTTTGATTATTGGAAAAGCGATAAAATTTTTCGTTGTCTTTTTTCTTTACATAGAAATATTGTATTGAAAGCTTAGCTGTTTGCTGTTCTTTACTGTTCTTTACATAGAAATATTGTATTGAAAGCTGATCTTGAACAGGGTTGTTTTAAAAGTCATTGTCATTGGCAAAACTTTTAAAACAACCCTGTTCAAGATCAAGATCTAAGCTTTCAATTTTTCTAGGGCAGTATAGGTAAAGCCAGGGAAGAAAGGCCAGGCTCAAGGCTGGATTCTGTTCAAAGCAAGATTTTTTATGAGCAAGCCCGGTGCAGAACCAGGCTAGAAACCAGGCCAAACTTGGAAAACTCGAGAAATTTCTAGGCAAAACTTCAAGTTAAGTCAATGATTTTTACTTAATTTCCATAAATTTCAGGTAAAACCAAGATTTTAGGTCAATCCAACGGTAAGCTTGAAATTGAAAGGTCAATCGAAAGCTTTTTTTAACATAGTAAACGTAGAATTTAAAAATTCAACCAATTTCTAACATTCTTTACTTTAGAGATATGTATTTTTCCCCCTTAAATTCAATTCCATTCATTGCATTCAACTTTTCAATCAATCAAAATTGTTATCAGTTTGTCAGTAATCGAGTTTTTTTTGCATTTGGTGGCTGTAATTTTGTCGTGGCTCATGTAATTTTGCTATTAATAAAAAAAATTGATATTTTGATTGATTTTGATTGATTGATCATCTAAAAAAGCTGTCTAATTTTTTGTTTTGAGAATTTCAAAATAATAATATCATTGGGAAAGGAAGGCACAATCAAATTCTCTGTGCTAAAAACTTTAAACGCTCCTCTCAATTCTCAATCCTCTCCTCCTCTCAACGCTCCTGTACTCGATTCTTTCCTTCAACCATACATTTCTCTATCTTCTGATTCGTTTTCGATTCCAGGTGGATGTCCGATGACCACCGGTATCTATGCCTTCTTCTATTTGTATATCTTCTCTTCGATCATTCTCTATTTTGTCTCCGGCGCTCTCCTCATCGCCATGATCGTCCAGATTAGATTACGCGAGAAGTACTCCGTTTTCGCTGGTTTGTTTTTGGGAAAAGGATACATAAAAAGAAAGCTAACTATCGTAATTCTTCCAATAAACGGCCAACCCTTCCAATTCTTCCAATTCCAATTAACTATCGTTTCAATAGACGGTCACCTCCTTGGCAAAAATTATCATTTTCTCAGATCTGCCAACTTTCATCCCGAGTTTCTAAGATTTTTCTAGATTTTTGAAATCGTTTTAAGTGATAGATAATCTTAATGGACATCATAAGCCAACCCATTTTTGTTAACACTAATTTTAAGCTCTTGAAAATGGGAAAATCTCGGCTTACGGTAGTGGATTTAAAAAATAAAGAATTTTCAAGAGACGGTCATGGCTATCTATTGGAATAAGATGTTTTCTAAAACGTGAGAATTTTAGGGAAGCGACGGTAATCTTGTCATAAAGATGAGTCTAGGGAAACTGCTGTAATCTTGTCGTAGCTCTAGATATTACTTGTCTCTTTCAATGTCCTTTTTAAAGCCTTACACAGTCAATCGAAATAGAAAGATCGGAGAACTAGAGATAAGGCAACGATTTTTAAAAGCTATGGCTTATAAGACAAGGCTTGTAGTTTATGAAAGTTGATAAGTTTTAGAAAACGATTTACTTTGAGTAGCATTCATAACAAAAACAAGCATTTAATTTTAGTCAAATTTCTGATCGATCTCGTGACCGCCTCTTGCCTGTTGGCGATGGCGTTTCTCGATAAATCGGTAAGATTTACAATAGTTTTCTAAAAAGGTGCCTTTTAGAAAACAATTCGAAAGGTACTTGTAGATTTGGTTTTAACAATAAACAACAAACAATAACAATAAGGCAATTTCAGGCAGACAACACCCAATGTGGCATTGTACAAGTGATCTCGGCGAGTGTGCCTCTTGTACAGGTAAAAAGAAAAGCTATTCAAAAGAAAAGCCTACCTTATTTTCTAGCATAAGCAATACCTTAGGCATCTTTGAGAATCCTAAAACTTAATCGATCTCGATTTGGCATAGAATGCTGATGATTTTCTCAACTTTTCCAATAACTTGTTCATCATTTCCAATATTTCTATCTCCAATATTTCATTTCCAATATTTCTAGTGTCTCTTGTTAATGTGCGAAGTGATCGATTGGTCATTGGCCGCGTTTTCACCAATCTATTTTCATCAATCTTCGTTGATTTGCAGGTTGTAAAGCTTAAAGTAAAGCTTAAAGTAAAGCCAGTCTTAAAGTAAAGCTGAAAGTGTTCCCTCTCAAAACCTAATCTTTCGTAACACACATCATTCAGAATATTGCCATTTTTGATCGGTGCCCTTTTCTCTGTGATCATTATGGCTTGTCTTGTCATCATCGATTTGGATACAGAGGGAGAATGCGTGGAATCGTCGAATACAGGTGTTAATAGAAAAAGAGCCGTCACGCTTTAAACCCCTATAACTTTATCTAGAGACAATATTATTTCTAACTTTTTATATCATTGTATAGAAGGCATTTCAAGCTTTCGAATGACACCAAATACAGCTTGATTGGATAATCCAGTCAAGGAAAATCAAAGCCAACGCTAAGCAAACAAGATCGATCCAACTGTCATGGTTTTCAACGGTTTTCATGGAAATGCAAAAATGCAATCAAAGTGTATTTGGTGTCATTCGAAAGGCTGAAATGTGTTCTATACAATGATCTAAAAAAACTTAGCAATTCTCACCGCTTACGACATGACATTGATCTTGGCGTTGGCGTGCGCGATTGCACTTGGCGTGCTTCTCAAAAAGCAACTCAACTCAGCCTTTTTCGACCAGTTGTCGTAGGTTTTTAGCATCAAAATTAGCCGAAAGTCGATGTGAATAAAATTCTTTGAAATTTTGAATCAAAAGCTTTCAGTTTCATTTTGTGGCAACAACTCTCTTATTGATCACTCCAATCATCGTCATCGTTATTATTCGGTAAATGGCTATTCACTGGCAAAATTATTAGTAGTTATTGGTCGTTATTGATTTTTCAGTTACGTTCACTTAACAAAATCACATGTGGCTTGTGATATCGCAAATTTGTTGGTTTTTGTGCATTCAGTCGCACATTCTTCGTATTTTGTCTACAATCATGAGGATGTTCGGGTATGTTGATCTTTTCCTCTAATCTGGCAATTTCATATCTAAAGTTTACAAGATTTTACAGCCGAAAGGTCAATTCTAAGTTTTGCTGACCATTAAATTGCAAAAGTAAGTATGAGTTGACCGACTTATAGTCTAGATTAGTACCAGAACCAAACCAGAACTGGTCTATGAGTTAGGTGGAGGCTAGAAATGCTTGTAAGCTAGGCCGATGTTGGGGCTGTCATTTGAGCCAAGCTAGGGACTCGAAAATAGATTTTATAGCCATAGGAATAAAGATTATAGTATTAATGCGTATTTAAAGAGATTAAATAAACAAAATGAAAGATGAAATCCGAAAAACTATTAGGTTGACCCATAAGTCTTTCGACCCTTCATTTAAAAAGCCATTAGGTACTTGCAAAAGAAGCTGCGGATCATAAAAACCATCGTACAAGGGCTGTAAAGATGAGCCGGGTTGATTAGTATTTTTAGAAACCCCAATATCTCGTTTTAACGAAATAAAAAGAATTTTACGAAATTTGTTCCGAGGTGCAAACTCGGATAGTCAAAAAGAGCAACGACTCAATTACGCGATTTAGACACTTTGGTCATAAGAAACCGATCTGGGTGTCAATAGAAAAAAGAAAGAGTGCAAAAAGTTACGTTTATAGCCAAATTTTCAAATTAAGCTAGGCCGAAGTTGGGGCTGTCCTTTGAGCCAAGCTAGGGACTCGAAAATAGATTTTATAGCCATGGAAATAAAGATTGAATACGCATTAATACTGGAAACAGATTAAATAAACAAAATGAAAGATGAAATCCAATTCAGCAAGGCCTTAAAGCGACTTTTTGTCAATTCCGAGTGCTGACCGCGATTCGTCAAAACTCTTGCGTTTCGTAAATTCGTAAAATTTTTATGGCTCAACTTTGACAAAAAATTTTTTTCTGAAAACTGAGCAAATTGCAGATTTTTTCTTTGATCTCTTTTTCTTTTTATATAGAAATTTTCTTGTTTGGGTGAAATACGGGTTGTCTTTCTTTTTGTTTTTTTAACTATAAAAAAAAAGAGTTTTATAAGAGAATTTGATCAACTACGTGTATGTATTTTCTGATCTTTTTCTGTTTCTGATTTGATCAACTATTCTGAAATTATTTCAATCAATGAGATTTATGAAAATAAATATTTAAACTATTAAAGCTCACTTGTTTTCAGAAAACAGGGGTAGGCTAATTTCCGCAATTTTTGGCAACTCGCCATAACTTTTTTCTAAGTAAGCCAATCTTTATGATTTTAGTGTCATTTTGTTGCACTTCTTGAGATCTACAAAATAAAACCAAAATCATAAAGATTGATCCACTTTGAAGAAAGTTATGGCGAGTTGCGCTAATGACCCAGTTGCGCAGACGACCCTGTTGCCCAAAAAAATACGGAAATTAGCCTACTCCGAAAACAGATCATTTCAACAATAAAAATAAAGATAATCAGTTTTCAGTTTTAAAAACAAAATTTGTATCCATCACCGGCTCGAATGTCGATCGAAGAGATTTCAAAGCGAGCGGCTCCAAATTGATCAGCCTGGAGAAGTTTTATTAAAAGTATTTTAGACGTACAGTCGCGTAGTCGTTACTGTTTTCCTAATAATGAAGAAAAGCTAAAAACTGAGCTTTAGCGAGTTTTTCGAAAGATACAATACCTTGTGAAAGGTTAAAAGAACCACACTTACAAAAAGGTGCTCATTTTGAAAGGTTAGATAAGAATTTGTACTTAAAATAGTTGCTTTTTTTGTAGTTTTAGATATTTTATAATTTATTTATTAAAATCTAATTTAAAAACTTGTGACTCCACCCACCTTATCATGGAAAAACACAAGAGAAAACTGATGAACCGACTCGTCTAGTGGAAACTCGACTTTTCGCGGTGATGCGGTTAAGACTCTGAAAGTTCTTTTACTCAAGACTGAGCTTGTAAATTGGTACTATACAATTGTACAATATAGTACTATTGGTGTACTATATTGTACTATATCCAAATCTAAAATCAACCTTGGTCCCAACAATTCGTGGCAGTTGTCCGAGTCGGTATCCGCATCAGCACAAAGGAGCACCCGGGAGCCGAAAGTGAACTGGAAAAGGGTGCAAATTTTGGTATTAATGTAATTTCTATGCAAGCTTTATGGTAAATAGATAGATTTATCTAGAATTGAGTACACTTAACACTTAACTGATAAGAAAGAGCCCTGAAACTGATTCCGATTAGGCTGTTTGACCAGGCTCAATCAATGGTTTGTTATTATTGATCCATAAAAACGTTATTATCCAGATTTCTAGATTTCTAGATACTAAGAATATTGTCTAAATATTTTAGCTATCAAGCTATCTAGCAACCTAGCAATCTAGCTATCAAGCTATCTAGATATCTAGCTATCAAGCTATCTAGATATCAAGCTATCTAGATATCAAGCTATCTAGATATCTAGCTATCAAGCTATCTAGCTATCTAGCTATCTAGCAATCTAGCAATCTAGCAATCTAGCTATGTTGTGTTGCTAAACTTCAAAGCAAAATTCATAACAATATCAATCAATCCTGTGAAATACTATCTAAAGCTGAATATCTAAAAATTGTTTAAAGAATGACTAGCTTTACTTGCGTGACATCGATGATGAGTGTGGCTGGGGCAGGTAAATCAAAATATGATGAGCGAAGGACGCATCGTTTTGCGTCATGGCCAGCGATTGTGCAGACACCGCCTGTAAATATTCTCGAGTAATATTTTAAATTCAAATTTCAATAATTACAAGATTTTAAAGAAAAGCTTAAATGTACCTAAATTTATTAAGATATAATAAAATAAAATTATTAAAAAGGAACCATTCGTCCCGATGAGCAATTCCCGGTCACCAGTCTCCATTGTCGACTCGTAATTGCATGTGTGCTCTAGGAATTTGTTTTTATTAGACTAATAATATAGAAATGTTTACGTAAAAAGATATTTAGCTTAAAAAGATATTAAAAAGATAAAAATATTAATTAAAAAGGTATTTAGCTAATATTTTTATCTAAATTTACCCTTAAAATCGCATTTTATTCGATCACACAAAATTTGTTCGACAGTTCGAAGTGGGCAAATGTCACCTTCAACCTGGAATTGTTTAGATTGCTTTAGATTTATTTAGAAATTGTTTTTAAATGCTAATTTTTTTTGATATCTAAAAGTTTAGATCGAAATAAATGAGTCACTTTTTCGAAAAGCTCATTTTTTTTCACCTCAATAGATGAGATGACGATGATAGCGTTTTTTTTGGACGAGGCTTCGATGATTATCTAAAGATTGAATTGCAGTAGATATTAGGGCTACAGTAGACACAAAATATCCATAATAAAGCAAAAAAAAACGTTACTCATTTCACCTCAAAAGGCTTCTCTGAAGAGATTTGAACTTGAAGCGTTCCGTTCAACTTTTTCCCCTCCATGCATTGACCAAGAGCGCAAACGCGAAGGAAACCGAATTGAGATCTGAATTTGGGAATGAGATTTTCGAATAAATCATTTAATTTCTAAATTTCTAAATGATCAACTCTATTGACTTATTTCTTTTATATTGGTATTGCGATTCTTTAACGATTCTGAAGATAGAACTGATTTTAATCTAGACTTCAAAAAAAAAACAGATGCTTTAAAAGCCTTCTTCCTTCATAACATTCCTTTTTTCCTAGGTCGACAACTACCTTCATGGCCTAATGGATAAGTATTAGACTCCAGCTTACAGGATCGAGGTTCACTCCCTGGTGCAGCTTTTTTTTCTAGCAACATCTGGCATTTTGCATTATGGCAAGATTTACATCATTGCACTCACTATCTATAAACTTTTACTTCTTTTTCACACCTCATAATGAATGGTGATCAGAGAAGTTGTATGCACATGGGACTTCTCGAGATCGAATCGACGACGCGTCTTTGCCTTTCAACATCAGCACCGCCACATTGCCTACAAAGTTTTTGTAATTACCATTATTCAAATGCTCTAACCGTTGATTTGTTTAGGTAATGGAAAGTCTTCGGAGAGTTTGTGGAACGGCTCCATATTGAAGTTTCCCGTCATCGTTCACCCTGAAAACATTTAGTTCAACTTTTACTATTAAGTCCAAGCCATTGATTGCAATGATCAATTGTGAAGTCGCACTCCAAAGATAAGCGATACTCATTGGCTCCTAATAATGGTTTCGGTTGAAGGCCGAACATGTGAGCAACCTGGGAAAGCAATAAATTTAGAGTACTTGTAATCAAATGAATCTATTTTCTTGCAAAGCCAACCGTTGGTGGATCGATTGTAGTTGGGATTGGTGGCGGATGTTCGATGCAAAGCTGGCCACCGATGAATTTCAGCTCATCCACTACGACGAGTCCCATCGAATTCGCGTCGAAAGCAATCAGATCGATTGTGAACTGAAAATTGAGATAACTTTGAGTTGAAATGTTCTATTTAAACAAGTTATGACTTTCTTTTCTTAGGGTCCAATTTTTAACTTTTAAAATTTAATGATTTTGAGCACAAGATTTTACAGTAATGACGTACTCTTAAACGGTTTCATATACGGTTCGATGTCGATTTGGATTGGCCCAGGCGAGTCCTCTTCACTTAAATATGCGAACGACAGGGGAACCTTAAGGATTACTGAATTCTGACATGAAATGGCACTTACATCATTCTCATCAACTGAGCAAACCTCGACTTGAGTGCCGGCGCGGAGCCAGTATCTGAAAAAGATCAGTAAATTGAAAAGAGTAGACTGTAGTCAGTTTCGCAAGACATCAGTGTTAGGATATGCGATAGCAAAACTGGATAGGTTGTTAGTTGTTACCTGAATGAAAGAGTGGCCAACTTTGATGTACATAGGAATGAGTTGACTTCTCAGCGTTCCATACGGTTTCCGGAGTCAATGGATCAACAGCCATGAAAAGGAAAGATTTTGTCGGTTTCGTCGTGGATCTTGATGCCTGAATAGCAAGGTAATAAAGGAAATAATCTCAAGAATTTTAATTCCGCCATGGCCGATTGGCTAAGGCTTGATTGTCCCTGTAGCTTAATCGGGAGGTCGAGGGTTCAATCCGAATTATTGGTTTTCAAATTGAACAGCCAGATTTGATTGTCTAAGCTTTTGGTTGAATGGCTCTGGAGCACTGGATGCACAAAAGTGGAAGTACGACAGAAAGTCTACTGTACTTGACTGTTTATCATTCTAGTGAACAAATTTCAAATCCAACTCTCACCTCAGTCAATTCATACCACCGATCAGTGTCCTGTCCGATTCGCCACCAGAAGCCGTTGAATAAGCATTTGTCCATCGGAAAATTGTAAAGATTTAAAGAAAAATAATATTTTACCGACATCCCTTAATCGGATCGATACACTCCAACACTCTTTCAAAGCAGATGGATGAGCTCGTGGACGGGGCTTCAAAAGGAACAGAGTTGAATAGAAGTGGAAAAGCTGAACTTACAAATTTTAAAAGATAATTTTAAACTTTTCATAGAAAGATTTCATCAGGGTAAAGTTTTTTTCATTACAATTTGTTTTATCTTTGATCAGTACTTGTTAGTAACCCGTTAGACAAGCAAGAACATAAGTTTCATGACAAATTTCTCAAATTTCTTTATAGATTATATAATTTAACTTAATTCTATTTTAAGCTTCAAAATCTTACGCGACTCATTGCATAAATCAGCTTTGACGGTGATATTGTTGATAAGCACCATTGATCCAACCGTATTGTCGCGAAGGTTAAAAGCTCTAAATATCTTTTTTCGATTTAGTTTAGACATCTCTCTCTTGTAGAATTTGTCTATATGTAAATAATTTCATGATTTCTATACCGAATGGCCAATCGATACGGCTGTTTGACAGCGGGGATCAACGCCGAACAGACATGACCGCTCTCCTTCAGGAAATGACAATCCGCTTTGCCGCGTTCGATTACCTAAAGAAAATAATTATAAAATAGTTATAAAATTTCTATAAAATAGTTATTCATCTAAAATCTAAAACTTTCAACCAAAAAAAAAAGTAAAATGTTGAATTTTAAAGTTCAAGCGGTACTTTATGCTTAAGAATACTTTGTGCTCAAAACAACCCCTTTCTCTTAATTTTGTGTGCCAGATCGGGTATGTTTTCACAAAGATATGTACAAAGTACTTTACTGTCTATGTCTATGAAAAGTTACCTTAGATAAGTAAATAGTATCTTGAGGTGGAACAAAACCGAGAACACTCACTTTCTGATAGAAAAGCCGAAAATTTAGTTGAAAGGAACGTTTCCAAGTTAGAGTACAAAGTACATCTACTTACCATCAAATGTCCTCTCCTTGGCTCCGGTCTCACCGCCATCACCTCGACATTAGTTGAGATTGTAAGCCAATATGTAATGAACTGGTTTGGACTTGAACATACCGTATATCTGTCTGTCTGTCTGTCTGTCTTTGATAAAGATTTCAAAAGCTTTACTTGAAAGTGATATTTGCCATCCCGTGATGACATGCCAATGGAGCGTTGAGAAGAACAGCTGATTGCGCGAGTTTTGTCGTGTTTCCAGCTATTATCATGAATCTTGTGCCTAAACAAGTGAATCAATACTTTTCGTTTTAGCAATATTTATCAATATTTTAACACAAATTTACCAATATTCTTCCATTTTACATACCAATTTGCAAATTCGCGTTCCCTGGTTGTACTTGAACCGGGAAAACTTCTTCATCGTTTTTCTTGAACAACTAGAACTCGGATGTGTCCAATAAACCGTCGGAATCCGCGTTTTTCCATAAACATTCCCTCTAGAATTGAAAGTATAACAAAATTTTAGCTTTTGAAAATTCTTGATCACTTTTTCTTGTAGATATGCTTAGGAATCACTAACCAACAATTGATCTACGATTTTCCCCAAATAAAAGATGTTTAGTATTCATTTTTCACCCATTTCAAGTCGATTCAGGCAAATTTCCGGAGCAAATTCAGGTACAAAAACTAGTTTTATCGCATAATCTTCGAGAAAAACTTCTATAAAAGAAATCGGCTGAACAGATTGTTCTGAAAATTTGGGCCATCTTCCAAACTTCTTGAGTCTATCTTTTTTCTATTCTAACATAGATTTCAGTGAATCGAAAATGTCTAGATCGACTTTAAGCCAATGACCAAATGAATCATAAAGACTTTGAAATCACAAACACAGCCGCCGATCCTCTTCACATATTCGGCGAATTCAGGTGGTGTCTTTTTAGCGATTTCCCCTTGATTCTAAGGTCGAATATTCCCAAGTAGAGATCCAGATATCCGAATTGGTATTTATATCTGAGTCCATCGAGAGTTCTTTTACTGGAAACAAAGTTAAATCCTCGATTTTTCCCGAAGCTTATTACTATTTTAAAAGATTCACACAAATCTCACCTGAAAACCGACATTCCCAGACATTCCATTTCAAATAAGCACTTCGCCTAATATCTGGGAATACCAAAATACTTATTAGAATTAAAGGTAAAGAGCTGATACTTTTTTTGATTACAGAACCACCAGTTGCTTCAATGAAATATTTAGAAAGCTTTGTTCAACTGAAAACCTTTAGTTTAACTGGGGTTAATTTTTTTTCAATATATACTGTAATAACAAATAATAGATTATTAAAAAAGATATTCATTTAAAGGTAGATCACTGTGATAGTCTACCGTAGCTCCTTTTCAAACTATGGATTACATGCTTGTGCCAAAGAAATCCAAACAACAGTAAAAAATAAAATCATAGTTCTAGAATGCAAGAAAATGATAAGAAATGGATAAGGAAAAGATTTCTTTTTATGTCATTTTGAGGGGAAACGACTGGATCTTTTGTGACATAAGAGCTTTCTTTTTTATGCGCTGTTTTTGTAAAACTCACCTTTAGCTTTCTCTGCGTTTCACTTTATTCCTACCTTGATTATTTCCAATTTTCTCTTCGTGCCTTTCTTCAATGAGAAAAGGAAAATAAAACGAAAAAGACTTGAAAATTAAAGTTTTTTTGCTTATTTTATGTTTAAAGCTGAAAATCTATCGGTACTTTACTACGCAATAAGATAAAAAATGTAAAAAGATTTGAACCGCTTTTCAGGGGCGGAATCAGCATAAAATTTCCTATCCTGAAAAAAAAAAGTGCATCCCGAATTTCGCTCATGGCGGCCGAGTTAGGTGCCTGTCACGCACGCGACACTTCTCTTTTATATATAGTAGATTCTATGAGCCATCGCTACTCCGCAGGACACAAAACAGCATGGACTCGCGTTCACAGGAAGCGCCCTTGCGGGTAATTTTTAACCCTTTAAGAGCTGACAATTAATCAATTATATAGGCAAAAGTTTGCCTTAAAGGTTCTTGAGAAATTGATATGGAAATATTGTAAAAGCCCTTGGGATTAAAGAGCATCTTGAATTTGACTCTTAAAATTTCCATTAGCTGGCGTTTCCATTTTCTTTTCTAAACCCGTCCAGGATCGGTTCTATATTTTTTATTCGCTAGACATGCCTCAAATCGCCCCGGAATTTCCCAAAAGGTGACAAGGCAATGAGAGAAGTATTTTAGAATCTAAAGAATCTGCTTAGTTGCCGCTGCTACAACCCACGACTGGATCTTCCAAACAAAGCGTCGCACCTCAGATCAGCAATTGGACCAACGGATTCTATGGATTGAAAGTAGTGCAGAAAGGTAAATCATTTCATCTATTGACCATTTTATTCTGTTTACCTAGGTTTTATCTGACCTTGAATGTCCGGTCTGCCCCGAATACATGCTCTCCACCCTATTTGCAATGCCAAAGCGGACATCTTGTTTGTGGGAAACCGTCGACCGAAGCTACAGTGTTGCCTGCACCATGCCGCGGCTCTACACGTAAAGTTTTTATTTAGTACAAGACACCAATTAAAAGTTTGGCAAGCATCCGAAACTCTTAGACTTGGAGAAGATTGCAAACATGGTGAAGTTTCCCCTGCAAAGTTCAGGGGCAATTCTGGATGTGGATCGATATTTCATCATTACGATAAAGTCGACCACGAAGAGACGTGCGAGTTCAGGTAGGTGCTTACTTTAAAGGTGGCGTATAAATACATAAAGTACATAAACTTATGTAACAATTTATTCTTTACAGGATCCTACAGCCGCCCTTGCCCTGGTGCGTCGTGCAGCATATTTTGTTTGGGTCTTTGTTAAACTAATAGATACATTATTTTAGATGGCAAGGAGCTCTTCAAGAAGCGAAGCCACATTTAATGAAAGATCCGTAAGAGTTATTATGACTTTACATAGATATGTTCTAAGTGAGAAATGTCAATAATGTTTCTCTTTAGGCGAGGATATTGTCTTTTGACTACTGACATCAATTTACTGGATGGAGTTGATTGGGTCATGATGCAGGTTAGCTTTGATTTGGCAACAATAAACTAAAAATTTTTAGAGCTGTTTTGGATATCACTTTATGCTAGTACTCGGGAAGCGGGTATGGCTGAACTCTTGACTTCCAGACTCCTTGTTTCAGTGAAAAAGCTCGAGCAATCGCAGCAAATTTTCGCAGCCGTTGTTCAACCGATTGGAGCCAAAAAAGAAGCAGGAAACTTTATGAACAGGTATTAAGAAACTTTAACGAACAAAGCACTGGAGTATTTAGACTTGAATTGTTAACCTGACAGCGTCGTCGCCTTGTATGGGAAACCCAGGATAAATACGGTAATAGATCAATAGGCGCATGCGCTCTATTAGAGAAAACCCTTACAGCCTCGCCCACTCACGTGAGGAGAAAAGTTGCACCTGAAAAACAACTTTTAACCTATGCGATGAGTTTGCGTCGTCAAAAGAAAGAGAATTTTTTAGGAGAAGAAAGAGAATCGAATTTGACGTTTTTCTTTACAGGAAAACAAAATCGCGGATGATAAGATGCGCAACCGTGTCGCCGGGACGCCAAAATCGACTTCACGAAGCAACTTTCGACCACGTCGAAAGGAAAGAGTAAGCTTTTAATGATTTTTTTTATTTGAGTGGATAGGCAAAACTATTAGGGTTGAACCCACAAGTCTTTCGCCCCACTCATTTAAAAAACCATTAGGTACTTGCAAAGAAGTTGCGGATCATGCGAGCCATGAGGCGGTGCAAGGGCTGTAAGTAAAGATGAGCCGGCTGGATTAGTATTTTTAAAAACCCCAATATCTCGTTCTAACAAAAATAAAAGAATTTTCACGAAATTTGTTCCGAGGGGCAAACTCGGATAGTCAAAGATAGTAACGACTCAATTACGCGATTCAGACACTCTGGTCATAAGAAACCGATCTGGGTGTCAATAGAAAAAAAAAAAGAGTGCAAAAAGTTACGTTTATAGCCAATCTATTTCAGAACAATCTATTTAGCTGATTCCTCGGATCTCACCCCTTATCAAGTTTGACGAAAAACTAGTTTTTCCACTTGCTTCAAAATGGACCCCAAATTGTTTTAAAAAGATAACAAAATGAATTATAAATATTTTCACTTTAGAGCTAATTGTAAGCAATTGGTCGAATTTTGTCATTTATAAATGCTAGCAGAAAAAAGTGTCCAAAGATTTATCTGCCTAATATCACGAATTTCTTTATAAAAGCTAAATTAAAGTATATTGTGCATTTTTAGGAAGACAAGAAAGATGGCATAAGCTGTAAGCAAACTAGTGGGCTTCAGGTACCGACATTGACCACATTGTAAAATAACCATTGTTCTTCCTAAGTTGTCATTTTTTTCACTACAAAAAGGCGCTCATTTTTTACTCTAGGTTTTTTACATTTCTTTACTGTTGGTTCATAATGAGATCCGAGATCCATATTAAATAAATACAACAATCACTATCTATTTCTGTTTATTGTGATTAGTAGTATTCTACCATTTTTAGAAGAGCCTATCTCCCCCAATTCCCACGCCCCGTTGTTTAACTTCTTTTTCAGATTTATTTTCATTATAAAAACACCCATGATTTGATGGGATTTTTTAATAAGGGATTATGACAAATCAAAACAAAATTTTATTAATCAGAAAAGTTACATGGAATGGTAGCACAAATTGCCTTAAGAACGTTCATATGTTGCTCAGTTGTATAACCCCCGCCTGAGATCTCAAGTCCATCGCTCGCATCAGATGGATTTGGTCTATCGGCGGAAGCATTTGAGAGGATCTTGTCAACTATCTTTGCAACTCGCTCAGATAGTAAACCGGACGAAAGTAAGAACAAACTTCAACGGAGAATGTGGGATCATTCGCGAAAATCCATTTCCATCGGCCGTGTTGAGTACCCCGTTTGACAGCATCCGGCATCAGAGTGAAATAACGTTTTCTAAAATTTTAAGTAACTAACCCTTATAGAATCTAAATATAATTGCTAAGGTCTTAAAAGCTATACTATAAGAACTCAAATGTCAAATCTTCATAGCCTCTCAGAAAAGAAGCATGAGTTTAGTAGGGCTTAGATTATAATATTTGAAAAAGAGGAAAAAAGCAATCAGAAAAGTTCACAAACCTTTTCAAGTCACTCGATAACACCTCTAGCACTTAGCTCTGACTGGGATCGAAGGCGTTCATCATTGACATGTTTCTAGAATATTGACATTTTATCAAGAATTAGTACTATGGCTACTTTTTTGAAACGACTTTTCTGGGGTAGTTTTATGCGTAGATTCCGAAAAAACACAACGAGGCTTGTGCAAATGCGTTTTAAGTCGAGTTTCAGGGCTCCAAAGTCCGCGCTCATACAGTGTGATGAGAGGGATAGACATAGGGAGTGAGGTCTCTCAAAACATTTTTTGAAGCCAAAAACACTTTTCTGGCATACCTAGAGACTTTAACCTAGAGATTACGTTTCTGATTTGAGCAAAATAAAAAAAATTTGTTTCCGACTTTTGACCATGTGGTCCCCACATGAGTCAAAATCTCAGAAACCCTTCAATTTGTTTTGCTACTACCGGTCAATTTAAGTCAGAAAATGGATATTTAGTGCTTAAAAATGGTTTTAGCTCTAGTTTTGACCTTGAAAAATGCCCCATAGTCGATAGCTTGGGCTCCAGATAGTGAAGTAATACAGGGTGGCGCATAATTACGGTAACTTTTCATGTTCACTTTATGACACCGAACCGTATAGTCAATTGAGTATTTCATACTTTTTATGTTTTTGTTTTTGTTATTTAGATTATTTTTTAAGCTTTTATCTCAAAAACTTATGTTCTAATTTAGAATGGCGAAGAGTTCTCCTCATCGAAACTCGATCATCGCTCTTCACAGACAAGGAGTTTGCGCTGTCAACATTTCAAAACGTTTGGGGTATCAAAGAAGGTGGTTTCTCGACTCAATCAAGAGATGCAAAGAATTGGGAACAAATTTGGATCGTCCTGGCCGCGGAAGTCATGTCTCAGTGACCACAAAAGCCAACATTGACAAAGTGAGAAAGCGGGTGAAACGAAACCCCAATCGATCGTCTCGCAAAATGGCCAAACAACTGACAATTTCTCGACGATCGCTGGGCCTAATCATGAAAAACCATCTAAAGCTGAAGCTCTACAAGCAATCCGGAGGACAATTTTTGTCAGACGTGGCAAAGAAGAAGAGAAAAGTTCGACGAAAAGCGTTTTTGCGACGGTTTAATGGTGGAAGACACCCGATTTTGCTCAGACGAGCAGTCACCGACGAGAAGGTTTTTACTGTCGAGCAGTTTCTCAATAAGCAAAATGATCGGATTTACTCGATTTCTAAGCCCAATAAAGTCGTTTCTCGCAGTGGGTACCCTCAATCTCTCATGGTGTTTGCGGGTATCACGGCTGATGGCAAGACCCCCCTAATCTTTGTCCCCGCTGGAATTACGACCAATGCAAAAAACTATTTGGACATTCTCAAGACAAAAGCTCTTCCCTGGGCTCAAGGACACTTCAAGCCCAAGCCGTGGAGATTTCCCAGCAAGTTAGTGCAAACTTGGCTCAAGAACAACTGTCCCGACTTCATCAACTTAAATCAATGGCCACCATTATCACCGGATCTTAATCCGCTTGATTTTTCTGTCAGGAGGGCTCTTGAATCAAAGGCCTGATCAAAACCACATTCCACGTTGAATTCTTTGAAGAATGCGTTAAAAAAAGCATGGAATGGGCTTGATGTAGCTAGCTATTTGGGCGCTACGGTCGGCGCCTTCTCCAAGCTTCTCGGTGAATGCGTCAAAGCCAAGGGAGCTAAGTTTGAAATCAAATAGTTCCTTTATTGTTCCAAAGAATAAGAATGTCATATCGAAAAAGTGTTCATTTTTGATTTCTGGCTCTACAGCCTGATGATACTGGGTTACCGTAATTATGCGCCACCCTGTACAATATACAAGCGCGCACTTTCGAGCCCAGAAAATCGGCTTCAAATGGCTTTTCACTCTTCTTGTTTTTTGTAAGCTACGCATAAAATTACCGCAGAAAAAGTGCTTTTGAAGAAAAAAGTGCCCCCCCCCCCCAGATAGGATAGTACCCCAGAATTCATAGTATTGAAGAACATACCAATTGCATTTCTAGCCTTCTATTCTTCGCAGCTACTTCCACCAGCTCTTTGTCCACCTCTTTAAGCTGCACACCCGTCTCCAGACACTTCTTCTTCCACTTGCCTGCATCACTAAAAAACGATAGCATAACACACCATAAATTATATTATTTAAATACCTTTCTTCGTACGAAACGTCCGAAACGTCGAAACGTCTTCGTCGTTTTCTTCCTCTTGGACAACATATTGAAATTGCCTAAAATGATTAGCAATAAGAAAGGCAGCGAACACTAAAGTTAGTTACTACACATAAAATGAAATAAATGGTAGAAATTTCCGATTTAAGAGCAGTTAAGTCTAAGCTCTATAAAATTCATCAAAGTAAAAGCTAGGGATAAAAATGAGAATTCATTGAATAAGAAGCATTACGCCAAAACAAAACAAAAAGTGTAGTTCGAGAAAATGATAAGGCTTTGAAAAAAGATTTCTTCGAAAAAAGTATCGACTACGCGACTGTACGGGGGCGGTGCTCTTCTATTAGAGTACTCTATATATTCTTCTATTAGCGCACACTCAAATAGAAGCGCACCCCAGAGGGGAGGGAAAAATCAGAAGCGCATGCGCTCTATTAGAGTATTTACGGTACTAATTTCTTTGGAACTAATCGCTTCACAATTATAGAACCATTAAAGATAAGTTACCATAAGGTAAGAGGTAGACCTAATAAAATCATTTAAAATTGATTGATTTTGTAGCAAAACCTGAGCGAAATGATTTCGATATTCTGCTGGCCACGGTCAACATAGTCGTCCAAAAAGATGAAATTGGCGTCAGGTGGAAAAGTGGTCTTCTCGAAGATGCGCAAGAGGTCGGAATACTAAAAAAGCAACAACAATAAACACAGTACTTTCAAATAAGCATACCTGTCCATGGATATCCTCGCAAACAACAATTCGTGGGCCAACTTCGGTGACTGATGGTTGATGCAAAAAGACATTCTTTGCTAGGCAACACAGCGACTTCAGCTTGTCCTCTGAAACCTAAACAAAACAATTAAATGAAGCCTTCTGCAAAGTTTCTTCAATTTCGAATTGTTGTTGAGCAACAAAACTCGTCCCAGAACAAGCAAAAGAAGCCAGAAAAATACCCCGCGTTAAAATTCCAAAACAACGATCAAGTTTTAAAGAAAGTAAAAAGCACCCACGCAAAAAGCAACAACGTCAAACGTCCTCCGGCGATTCAAATGTTGAGAAGGCGGCTCATCATGTCGTCGATGTTGACTTGCCCCATCTTGATGAGAGTTCCGATTAGCTTTGAATAGATGAGAAGAAAAGGTGCCATCTAAACATCTTTTGGACGACTATGTTGACCGTGGCCAGCAGAATATCGAAATCATTTCGCTCAGGTTTTGCTACAAAATCAATCAATTTTAAATGATTTTATTAGGTCTACCTCTTACCTTATGGTAACTTATCTTTAATGGTTCTATAATTGTGAAGCGATTAGTTCCAAAGAAATTAGTACCGTAAATACTCTAATAGAAGCGCATGCGCTTCTGATTTTTCCCTCCCCCTCTGGGGTGCGCTTCTATTTGAGTGTGCGCTAATAGAAGAATATATAAGTACTCTAATAGAAGAGCACCGCCCCCGTACAGTCGCGTAGTCGATACTTTTTCGAAGAAATCTTTTTTTCAAAGCCTTATCATTTTCTCGAACCACACTTTTGTTTTGTTTTTGGCGTAATGCTTCTTATTCAATGAATTCTCATTTTTATCCCTAGCTTTTACTTTGATGAATTTTATAGAGCTTAGACTTAACTGCTCTTAAATCGGAAATTTCTACCATTTATTTCATTTATGTGTAGTAACTTTAACTTTAGTGTTCGCTGCCTTTCTTATTGCTAATCATTTTAGGCAATTTCAATATGTCGTCCAAGAGGAAGAAAAACGACGAAGACGTTTCGGACGTTTCGGACGTTTCGGACGTTTCGGACGAAGAAAGGTATTTAAATAATGTAATTTATGGTATATTATATATAGGTATATATATATATATATTCGTTTTTTAGTGGTCGAGTCAATTGGGAGATGGAGTATCTGAAGAAGCTTGGGCGACTAAATGACGCGAAAATAGAGCTGAGGGGAATAGCTGCGAGGACTGGAAGGCTAGAATATCAATTGGTATGTTCTTTAATACTATAAATTCTTGATAAAATGCCAATATTCTAGAAACATGCCAACGATGAACTCCTTCGATCCAAGTCAATGCTAAGTGCAGGAGGTGTTATCGAGTGGCTTGAGGGGTTAGTTATTTTCTGATTATTAGGTTGTCCCATAAAAAATTGCCGTTTTTCAAAAATTTTTATTTTCAACACAAAATAAAAAGTAACAACGTAGATCAAACAATATATTTTCCATGATTATCATAGACATTTAACCAACGTTTTGGTAACTTTGCAAGTCCACACTTGTAAAAATCGGGTCGGCGTAAAAGAAAGTAACCCCTCCAATTCGTCCTCGAGGTCACCTTGGTTGTTGAATTGCTTGCCTCGAATAAAATTCTTTAGCGACAAAAATAAATAGTGATCAGATAAAGCAATATCCGGGCTATAAGCGGGATATGAAAGTACATTCCAGTGCAAATTGTTTTCCATAAAATCCTTCGATTTCCTCGATTTGTGGGGATGGGCGTTGTCTTCAAGCACAAAAACGGAACCATTCCATTCATTGTGATAGACCAATCGGAGAATTTTCTGCTCAACTTGTTGCATATGACGTCCATAAACATCACTGTGAAAAGTTTAACCCTTCTGGAGCACCTCCCAAAAAAAAGTATCCCAGAGGAACACCAATCGACACACAGAAATAGCTTATTCCCATGAGTATTTCTGTTTTTCCACCACTTTTCCCAATCGATCTTTCTTCAACCATTGTCGTTTCAACACTCGACAATCATAGAATATCCACGATTGATCATGAGTCACAATATTGAAAAGAGGAAACCGACCGCATCGATATTCGTTCAGTAGTTGACGGCATGACCGCGCTCTTTGGCCCTTAATCGAATTTTTCAAATGATAGGGAATTTGCCGCTGTTTCAACCACTTTCTTCCGGTTTTTTGAGCCAACGTCATACTGTCATTCTTCAGCAATAGCTTTGTGCCAAAATCTGAGTCGTTCCTTCGGGATTTTGCTGAAGTCGGCGCCTCAACGTCTGTCGATTCACTTTTCTGGGACGACCGCTTCCTCGCTTTCGTGTGAGCCGGTTGTCACCTTTTCGGAACTTCTGAAACCACCATCGTGTAGTCCTTTCCTTGACGATTGTTGGCCCATAAAAGAATTGATTTCTCTCGCTGCTTTGGCCGCGGAAATCCTCTTCAAATATCGTTGATGCATTATTGATGGATTTCTTCAAGAGACAGCGCCATGTGATCGCTCACAACTTTTTTTGTTTTTGATTCCTAAAAAAGGAAATTTAGCACATAAAACTAGAATTGTAAATTAGTATAATAAAAAAAGAGAAGGAAAAGTGTTAATTTGTCGCTGAATACGAATCAAATGAAAAAAAACGGCAATTTTTTATGGGACAGCCTAATACTTCTTTGATCTTTTCAAATATTATAAACTAAGTTCTACTAAACTCATTCTTCTTTCTAGAAGCTATAAAAGATTTGACATTTGAGTTGTTATAGTTTAACTTTTTAAGGCCTTTAGATTTAAATTCTATATAATTTTCAATTTCTTGAATTTTAGAAAACAGCAAATGCCGGATTCTGTCAGACGGGGTACTCGGGAAGAACGATGGAAATGGATTTTCGCAAATGATCCCAAATTCTGCGATGAAGTTCGCTCTTACTTGCCTCGAACCACTGCTCGGCGAGTTGCAATCATAGTTGACAAGATTCTCTCCGATGCTTCCGCCGGTACACAATCATCTGCCTTGGGCAATGGACTTGAGATCTCAGGCCGGGGTTATACAACTGATCAACAGCATGTTCTTAAGGCAATTTGTGATACCATTCCATGTAATTTCTCTCCTGAATAAAATTTTGTTTTGATTTGTCCTAAACCCCCCATTAAAAAATCCCATCCAATCATAGCGTTTTGGGTGTTTTTATAATGAAAATAAATCGGAAAAAGAAGCTAAACAACGAGACCTGAAAATTGGGGCAATGGGCTGCCCTAGAAATGGTACTTATATACTACTAATCACAATAAACGAAACAGATAGTGATTGTTGTATTTGTTTAATATGAAAATTTGGCTATCCACCTAACTTTTAAAGAAAAGTTGAACTTGTCTTGGAAAAATTGCCACAAACGCTGGCTCTTGTAGCGACGATTGCACTCCTCATCGAAACCGTAAACGCGCTTAATAGCCGGGCGCTCGGCTTTGAAGAAGAGAAGTCTAGAAAGGCTATTGCTATGTTCTTTAATACCATAAATTCCAATTGATATGCCAATATTCTAGAAAGATGCCAATTGCCAATTCTAGAAAGATGAAAGATGTGGTGCTCTTAATTATAATTCTTTGTTCAGGGCTGACAGGCCGTGGACCCGTGGAGTTTGGTATGTCTTTTTGGACAAGATGTGGTGCACTTCTGCGAGCGGATGAACATCTCATGGCCCGCACTCTTCTTGTCGTGTCACGTCTCAGTACAGGTAAATGCTCGTGCCGTTGCAGGCAAATTTTGGCAATCATCCCACTTCGTTCAAAAAAAGATTTAGAGCTTGGAAACAATGTAAAATTCGACAATTCGGCAGGGTTTGGCTTAAAAAAGTTTTTACCGAGATGCGGCCATAAAGAAGACTCCCACCCCTTTAAAAGCTAGTTTTTTCGTCAGCATTTTTACCTTGTGAAGCTTATCTCATCTCGCCCTTACTCTGAATTCTTTTCCAATCAAATTTATTAAAACACATTGTATATCATAAAAAAAAAATTTTTGCGACAGATGAACACGTTACAGAAATCACAGACAAAATCAGTGCGAAAGAATTGACGAAAAGAACACACTCATCATTTCTTAAAATAGGGATTTCCAGTTGTGTCACAAATAGCAGAAAGTAAATTGAGCTCATCAGGAGAAAAATACGCTTTAGAGATCTTAATGGGGACTTGTGCGAGGGTTTTAACCTTATCAAAATTGTGTATCTGCTTCGAGAGGCGTTGGAATAGTTTGATAGCCATCTCTGCAACTTCGGAATCACCGGGAACCTGACCATACCAATGCCAATTGACTTGATAATTGAAGTCTGTATCGTTCGTGTAATCTGTGTAGTTTGTGTAACTCCAGATCCATTTTTCCGATCGAGTAGGTGCTGGTCGCCTTGCCATTCGGACTTTTCTGAAATTTAAGAAATTGAAAATTACATAGATTTAAATCTAATTGCTAAGGCCTCCACAGTTAAACTATAACAACTCAAATGTCAAATCTTTCCTAGCTTCTAGAAAGAAGAATGAGTTTAGTAGAACTTAGTTTATAATATTTGAAAAAGATCAAAGAAGTAATCAGAAAGTAAGTTCACAAACATCTCGTCCTCGAACTTTTCGATGATGGACCTTGCATGCAACATCGATTCCATATTGAAGTGTTGCTTGTTGAGCATCATCTAGAATATTGACGTTTTATCAAGAATTTATAGTATTAAATCACATACCAATTGAGTTTCTAGCTCTGTGATTTTTTTCCTTATCCTCCAGCGTTTTTTGCACCTTATCTAGCTGCTCAACCTTCTTCCGGTACAGATCCTCCCAACTGGTTTCTTCACTAAAAAAAATAACATGAGATACAATAAATTATATTATTTAAATACCTTTTTTTGTCTTTCTTCTGCCTCTTGCGGGGGGGGGTCCGTCAACCTGCAGTCGCCCCTTCCCCCGCAAGCTAGATAGTATAAAACGTCAATATTCTAGATGTTTGCGATGACCAATTGTTGTTTGCGAGGATATCCATGGGAAGGTATGCTTATTTGAAAGTACTGTGTTTATTGTTGTTGCTTTTTAGTATTCCGACCTCTTGCGCATCTTCGAGAAGACCACTTTTCCACCTGACGCCAATTTCATCTTTTTGGACGACTATGTTGACCGTGGCCAGGAGAATATCGAAATCATTTCGCTCAGGTTTTGCTACAGAATCAAGTGAGTATTTAATCTTTACAATATTATAATCTAGCATGGACGAACTGCTTTGATTTTAGGTACCCTGAAAGCTTCTTGATGCTTTGCGGCAATCACGAGGCAATCTACGAGGAGTGCAACCGTCGCTACAAGAGCCAGCGTCTGTGACAATGTTTCCGAGGCACATTCAACTGGATGCCTCTTTTCGGTCTCGCATCCTCTGCATGCACGGTGGATTCAGCAAATCGAACAGCCGCGGTTTTTTTTCTGTTACTTGCCTATTCAAAGTGTGCTTTTAGCAACTTGACTCGTCCTGAAGACCCAACCAATTCATCAATGGGTATCGATCTTCTCTGGACTGATCCTGGCAACTGGGTTAAGGTATTCCATCTTGTGGTGCTCTTAATTATAATTCTTTGTTCAGGGCTGACCTGGGAGTTTGGTATGTTTTTTTGGACAAGATGTGGTGCACTTCTGCGAGCGGATGAACATCTCATGGCCCGCACTCTTCAAGTCGTTCAAGACGGATACAGGTTCTTCGCCAGCCGGAAAATAGTAATTTTTAGTTTTTAACATTGAAAGTTGGAATGATTTGACTTAACTTTTTGCTTTAGGTCGCCATCTTCTCTGCACCCCACTATTGTGTAAAATTCGACAACTCGGCAGCCACCATGAAGGTATCACATTGCTTCTCAACTTATTGCACAAGGAGTGTTAAGTTTAATGGGTTTTTAATTTGTTTTCTTTAGGTGAACGAAAATCTCCGAAGCATCTTCGACGTGTACCGCCCAACTGCCAGAGCCGTGCGAATGCAGCAACAAGAATAATAACTCGTTTTCTTATCGACGGCTCTTCTCGCCTTTTCAACGGTTTCTTCACCATTCCGTCTGCCATTCGATCCGGTGCTGCTTTAACTTATCCCCTTATTCTCATGTAAACATTTTTGTTGACTTTCGGGTGACAATAAATCGTTTGCATGAATCATTTGTAAAATTTAACATACGAGCGGGAAACCCGCCTACGGTGGGTTTTCCCGGCACAAATTCCCAAAAGGGTATTAGTTCTCACGCCAATTATAGCTCTACACAGATAAACTAGCTAAAGAAGAGTTTAAAAACTTGAGGCTTTTTTATTAAAATGCAAATTTTCCAACTAACCTTTCTTCTCATTGTTGTTGGTTTTTCTGATGGTGAAAATGAAAAAGGAGTTGCTGAGAATATTCTTGGTGATCATTTAAAGCCCTATCGTCCAATTCTCAAAGCATTGATCGAAGAGAAATGTCAAAATGAGGTTGGTTAAAAAATAAAATTAAACAATCATTTACAACAGCATTTATTATTCCTTTCTTTCTATACTTTTGATAAATTTTATAGGGACAATTCAATAGCTTTTGATCTATTGGGTTGGTGGAAAAGTCCTTTCGGATTTTTTGGGAGAGTACCTTAAATTTGTCCAATTTTGACGTTTTATAGCTCATCCTAAAGCTGAATTCAAGACGCATGGATTGGTAAAAACCGTTTTGAGATATCTCCTTTCTAAAAGTTTTTACAGCTATTTTAGTAAAGGGCGGCAGAGCCAAAAAATGGTTGCTTTCACGTTTCGTTGGTTTTCCGTGCAGAAACCTAGGCTAAAAACATGTGTTTCGTGATCAGCATCAAAAATAACCCCTAGACACAAAATTTCAGAATCTTAGCAAAAAATTTTTGAAAAATATTGTCACCGGTGGAAGTCGAACCCGCGACCCTCAGATCAATAGCCTTTCCGCCGCTTTTCGCGATTTTCCTTAGCTTTTCCTTTTTTTTTCTAGCAGAAAGGTTAGTTCTATATCCTAGATCAATAGCCTTTCTAGCAGAAAGGTTAGTTGGAAAATTTGCATTTTAATAAAAAAGCCTCAAGTTTTTAAACTCTTCTTTAGCTAGTTTATCTGTGTAGAGCTATAATTGGCGTGAGAACTGATCCGAAAGTCCGAAAGGACTTTTCCACCAACCCAATATTTACGGAAAAAAGCAAAAATCTAGCCGGGATTGAACCCTTAACCTAAGAGACAGAGATTTTAGTCAGTCGACTATGGTTGTGTTTATGCTTTCAATCTATTTCCAGGATTTCTGTTCACATTTGGTCAAGTATCTGGCTGGTGTCCGACGTTCAATCGAGGCTGATCTCATGCGTTTTCAAATTGAATTCGCCGCGGCAAAACTTGGAGGGGATTTGACGACAAAGGTTTCACTAGAATTTGAAAAATACTTGAAAAGTTTTAGAAATTCTACACAAATCTTTCTCTTATCAAGTTCATTCTCAATGAGGTTAATCCAGGTAAACAAATGGAAACAGTAATTACAGTAAGACTTGAAAATTCATTGAATTGGCTCGCTCAAGCAAAAGATATTCACCTAGCATACTGTAGTGAGACAGAGAACTTTAGCCTTAGAATATAAATAACAAAAAACATTTAGCAATTCTTGTAAAAGCGATTGAGATCTATGATGAGAAAGTTGAAAGAGCATTGGAGAAAGGGGAAACGATTGAGGAATCGATGGATGGATTGGAGGGAAATGAAGAGGAAGCGACAATTGACACCGATTATCTCAATCAGAATGATCTCAATGAATTGACTGAGGGATTTGAGGAGACACCACAAGTAAGTAGGCAATTGGAAATTGATATGCTGGTTAGACTTTAGTTTATAGGGTTCAATAGTAGCCATGGTTTCCCAGATCAAAGTTCGCTAAGAAAAAAAAGTTTTTTCGAAAGCGATTGAAGATCAAAAACCATGAATAGACGAGGAATTGTTTGTGTGAATGTTGAGAATTTAAGAAAAAAAGCTTGTTTTGAACTGAATTAGCCTAGAATTCTGGGTCAAAAGCTAATTTTGTTTACCGTATTCTCTCTAATAGTAGTGCACCCTAAGCTATGTCTAAATTGCTCGAAATCTCGAAAACCGCTTATCAGAACCTATCGATGTGGGGTCGGAAAATGTAGCTGACGACGAGATCTAGTGGGGGATTAGAGTGTTGAGCTTCTGTAAAAGCTTGGAAACCGTAAAATCGTCACCAACTCGGCTCGCCGGGGTGCACTACTATTAGAGAAAATACGGTATTTTGTAACATTGTTGATAAAGAAGCTTGTTTTGAACTGGATTAGCCTAGGATTTCGGGTCAAAAACTAGTTTTGATTAAGTCACAACAAAATTTACATCCAATATAAGGTAAGGTCGCTTTTTTGATGGATTTGGTGAGTCAAGGCAATAACCAACATCAAAACCAAGCCTAGTTTTGTAAATTAAAGAAAAATTGAGTGTTTGAATATCAAAGATTTTCGTTACTAAAGAATTTCGAAACCTTTAGCTTCCCAGCATCGACGAGTTGATGAAATTGTACGCGGAGAGGGAGGAGGAGGAGACGATCGGTCAGTTATAAGCCCTAACTTGTTGTACTTTGTTAAAATCTTTAAAAAATTGTTTTATTTTAATAAATCTTTATTCAATTTAATAGACAGAAACGAAATTTACATTTAAAAATGGTAAAAAAGAACTCGCTGAGTATCGGAGGGAAATCGGGGAAAGCTCGAAAGAAGTGACTATGATTGAAAAGTTCGAGAAAAAGAACCGGTTTTGAGAAATAGCACAATTAAATGTAAATTGAATGTAAATTGAATTCAAATTGAATTCAAATTCAATCCAAATTACCGTAAATTAAATGCAAATGCGCGTTTTTTCTTTTGAGTTTTTGAAAAAGTGAATTTGCTAAAATAAAATTGATCACAATGATTTGAATGAGGAAAACATTTGAAAGGAAAAAGATTTTAAAAGATTTAATTTTTAAAGTTTATAAAACGATTAGAATGATAAATAGGGGAATTTTATCGATAAAAAGTTGTTCCGAGTTGTTTCCGGCGTTGATACGTGTAGTAAGCGTCGTCCATCTCGTCCTCATATTTTGCGAAACGTGATAAACTCCGGGGATTCGCTGAATTTGCTAATTTTTGCTAATTTTCAATTCAATTCGATAAAATTACTGTTTAGATACGGAAAACGAATTAGATTTTCACAAATGATCGATTGCTTTTGGGTACTTTGTACTTAAAAAGATAAAGACGCCCACTCCTTTTGTAAGCCCACTCCAGTGCACAAGAAAGAAATACTGTCTTTAACTTTCTTTAACTTCTAACTTTCTTTAACTTCCTTTAAAAAGAACGAGAACAAGAAATAGTGTCTTTAACTTCCTTTAGCTTCCTTTTCTTTAGAAGCAATATTAACTGTTAACTTTTTATAAGAAAAGAAAAAGAAACGTCTGACTTTTGAATGATAGAAAATAAAGTACATTTGAGTCATTTGATTTCATAAAAATCAAGCGACAAGAAGTCACTCTTTTTTGATCGATTTTCACAAAATAGAATAAATCAATCAAGCAATTTTTAGTATCATTTGAAAGCCTAACTTATCCTCTTTAAAACAATAAAAAAAATGAATAATAATATTGTCTCTAAATAAAGTTATTGATCTTTAAATCATGACTATTGATTTAAAAGCCTTGAGTTACAAGAGCCGTTTGATTCTAGATTCAAGAACTCTTTTATTTTCGATTTCCTTACCATATTCTACTGTTCTGTAAAGTTTGACAACTTAATTACCCAACTTAAAGTAAAATTAAATTTAAATTCCCAAAATGGTATCAATTCTCACGTCAATTATAGCTCTACACAGATAAACTATTGGGTTGGGGAGAATGAGTCGGCGCCGAAAATCAAAAAAATGTCTAAAACTTCTAGCAGACTTCGTCAAATAATATGCGTTTGATAGAATGGTTTCTCTACAAAATGACATTTAAAAGAGAATTCAAACAGCGCCTCCGCTCAAGAAAAAGCCATTTTTTCACAAAAACTACAAACTGTGATCTAGAAAAAAACCATTGGTGGGATCTTCCTGCAAATTTGGCAACTTAAGTAATTCAATGTGCTCTATCTTTTTTATATAAACACCAAAGAAGGTTTATGTGAAAGAAACTGTTCAAATGATGAGTCGGACTCTTTGCCATTTTAACCAGCTGCGTTTGGAAGTTCATAAACTTCACGAAAGAAAAGCTTTGTGGAATCTCTCAAAAGTGATTTTGTAGAGAAATAGTGGATCCTTTTGATGAAACCAAACGTATGTTTAAAGAAGGCTTTATGTGTGCAAAAAGTCCCTTTAAAGTTCGGTGCCGACTCATTCTCCCCAACCCAATAGCTAAAGAAGAATTTAAAAACTTGAGGCTTTTTTATTAAAATTTATTAAAATAGAGTGTTTTATTTTCGATTTCCTTACCATATTCTACTGTTTCCCCGGTTCGGAGGATTTTGTTAGCTGGTGAGAGAATTGATGGAACAAGTGGGTTCTCTCGCAATGACAATCCACCCATTGGCCTCGGCATTACTACAGGATCAGATGGGACACGATCCGATGAACCGGACACCCAACCAACACTGCCGCCCGGGCCACTGCCGTGATCTTCATCTGAAATCGTTTTTGAAATAGACTTGCAAGGAATCTCTCAAAGCTTTAGTTAACTCAACTTTTGGCAATTTCAAACCTGGATAGAGCAATGGAGAGGTACACTCGTGATCGATGACACCACTTTTTGGCGGATCTCCACGAACCCATAACGTTTCCACGCGATCCGATTGAGACTCCTAAACAATTTTCTTTTCTCTTTAACTTAAATAACAATGGATTTTATAGCTAGATCTTCTTGATTCACGTAAAAAAACCTTTTCGGTCTTGATCAATCTTTTTTGCAGTAGTGGAAAATAGATTGGGAATGATAAGAAGGAATGACTAAGAAGACTAAGAATATGAACTAGAATTGAATAAAAAAGAAACTAGTTTTACTCACCGATCTTCCAAAAGCGCACGACCAAATGAGAATATAGAGTGAAGTTAAAAGGAGGAGAATCGAGGTGATCACTTCGGATAAAGCTATGGATAACCATGAGGTTGATGGCAGAATCAATGCCCCAATCGTGTAGACGATTGTAAGGGCTGTCTGTAAAAGGAATTTCTACTTGATTTCTTTTAAAAAAATGAGCTCAATAGTTTGAAGTGTGTTGCTTACCAGAAGAAAATGTTGGCATAAAGCTTTTCGTAGCGCGAACTTCACCACAACGACCTGGAGGATTTAGAGTTAATCGATTAGTTAGAACTCATTAGCATTTAACATTAGCACTAGAATTATCCTTTTTTTACCTCAAAATGCTTGTCTCTTGATATGATGAGACAGGTGGCACACGCATAGAATGAGAGCTGAAATCTGACTTTAGAAATCTGACATTTTAGAGCTCTGACTTTAGAAATCTGACTTTTAGAGCTCTGACAGAGAACTCTCACACGATAGAAACTTGTTTAAATCGACACTTACCAATAAAAACAATGCAATTGGCAAAGCGATCGTCCAGAAGAGCCACTGTGATGGAGGCGAGTGAGCAAGAGGCGGATAAAAGGGAATGAGCAAACGGAGAGACAACAAGGAAGCGCCAATCCCAACAGGAGACACACGGCGCCACTAGAAATTCAAGATTTCGTGAATATCTTCAAGTTCGATGCTAATATCGATTCTTTAAGCTCTTAAAGGTAGGGTTTTTCAAAGCTAAGGTTTGTAAGCTAGGTTAAAAGTTAAAAAGCTAGATAGAATCCAGGTTTTAGCATAAGCCTGGCCTAGCCTAGCCTGGCTTAAGCCTGGCCTGGCCTGGCCTGGTTTGAAGTATTCCAATTCTAGATAAGCAATCTCAGAAAACCTAGATTAGTACCTAGTTTGTGTATTCCCTTCAGCTAGCATTCGGTAAATGTGCAACGAGTAAAGGAAAAGCCAACAGAATGGAGAGACAGAGGGGTGAACGAGAGGATCGCATTGCGAACACCGCAGAAAATCTGGAAATGGGATTTCTTGCTGAACTTCTTTACATATTCGATACGACGATACGATCTAAATGAATTTTCTTTATCTTTACCGTATTAATAGTGATTCGATGCAAGAAATAGATGTTGATTGCATGAGCGGCGAAAGAGAGGATGAAAGCCACGCGGACAGGTCTTGTCCTCAAACCGCGTCGGCTGAGGGTGAATACGAGAGCCAAGGAAAGCACGAGGAGAGCGGAAACGGCTGACAGCGGGGCAACAGGCGAGGTGGCCATCGTGAGACGGATCTGGAAAAGATTTTCAGAGTCTAGTTAGATACTATTCAGCTCAGATATTTGGTTTTAAGAGCATCTGTGTCCTCTTGGTAAACTTAGCTGCCTAGCTCATTTAACTAACTTCTTAGCTGTTTTGGAGTCTCAAAAATAGCAAGACCAATCAGCTCTATTCTGAAACTACTTACCTTTTTGAAATCAAGTTTCTTTAAACAGTGCTTCAATGTGAAAATTATAAATAGAATCGATTTGATGACCGATATTTTTTACTCAGTTTTAACTAATTTTTCTTAAAACCCACTAGAACTCCATTATCGACTTTCATGAGAATTGTGTAGAGACCAGGTTTATCGAAAAGACAAGCTGCATGAGAGGCATTCAATCCAGTAAGTGTTGCGCCTTTTGTCGACCATTGCTCAACATCCGATGATATGTAGTGGACACACTCTGGGTATCTGGAATCAAATTTGTTTAGTTGTTTGCTCATATAAAGATCACTGACTTCCATCCGGATTCCTCCTTTTACGGGAATTCGATGAGAATCGGCTGCGTGGAGTTTGTTTGAGCTGCGACGAGGGGGCTGAACATCACACACAACGCGGGTGGGGGATGATCTAAAAGGAAATGTTTGATCCACTGAATTTTAGTGTAGGCTAAGATAAGCATTTGATAATTAAGTTTTCCTCTGATACCCGAAAAAATCCCCAAGTTGACCCATCTCCAAAAAGAAATTCGAATCGTTGGGAAATCCACTGGACGCTCGTCGACAAAGTTATTGAATTTAGGCAAAAGCTCGTTGTTGTCAAGTCGATCGATTGCAAACACTGAAATTTAGATTCTAAATTAGATTAGATTTCATTTTAGATTAGATTTATCTGAAAATCAGCTAGAGTTAGAAGCTTACAGATATTCTCGGATTGAACAGCGAATGGTTGAAGATAGGGTCGATTTTGATGAAGATGCAAGAGTGCTTTCCCAAGCTCGGCCAATCTCGCGCCAAGCAGCACGGATTGAGCCGGTGATTCTCGGGGTAGGATCTAAGAGAGATTTTAGATTTTCTAAGTAAAAAGATTAGAGAAATGCAATTTTCTAATGCTAAAGTTAACTTTTTATATATTTCTCGAAAGTTTTTTTTGAAAAATAGTATCTAATTGGGTCCTGAAGTACTGTAAAACCTTTTATAGAAATTCAAGTAGTAATTCTTGGTGTTGAGGCTCAAAAGCTAGAATTAGCTATGTAAATGTAAATGTAAATTTTGTTTATAAAGTTACCTGCGCCACTGAGTCGATCAATTTCCGTGTGAAATCGTGATCATGAATATGGGTGGCAGCGTGCTCAGCGATCTCTCCCTCGAGCACTTTTTCGAGCACCAAACGACCGATTTCAAGGCTTCGACCCTAGAATTTAAATAATTAGATTTATTTACAAATAAATCTACCTTAGTTTTCTCTATTTCGTTTTCTTTAAACAAATGAATCCTGTTTTCGTACCTTTAAAACTGTCTCATCACGCGACGCATTGTAGACGGCGCTCACGATGTCTTGTGGGCTTAAACTTGAGACCTAAAATGATTTTATTTAGATACCGTATTTTCTGTAATAGTAGTGCAGTCTATAATAGTAGTAGTCTGTAATAGTAGTGGTCTATAATAGTAGTGCAGTCTATAAAGTAGTGTAGGCAGGAGGGGGGTTGAAAAAAAATAGTAGTGCACCCTGCTAAAATTTGCTCTGTTGTTGTTCCTTTGACTTTGACTTCCTTTGTTTTAAAAGCATACTGGTAGCTAAATGAGATGCTATTATGAGATTGTGACTATTTATTTAGTACTGACTAACATATTGTGCTTGTAATTAATTTTTTGACATATTGCTACTACTTCTTTTTGGTACTTATGGGTTTTACCCACCGCGCATTTAAGCACTTGACTAAACAAAGACTAAAACTATGCCTTTCACATACGGATGACATTTGTACATGATACCTATTATTATTGCCTGGTAAAGGTATGGATCTAGTGAAAAAAAGGAAACTTTCTAATAGTAGTGCAGTCTGTAATAGTAGTGCAGGCTGGAGGGGAGTTAAAAAAATAGTAGTGCGCACTATTATTACAGAAAATACGGTATCTATCTATCTATATCTAGATTTCATACTTAAAACTATAATCTAACTTGAATACCTTTGTGATGATCGTGGAAAACTCTTTCGTCGTGCAATTCCAGCTCTCCACCGTTTGCCATTTTGCGTTCTCGCCGCATTTTCGGGTTGCCAAACCGGTCTAAAATTTGATTAGCAATTTGCGTAACAATTGGCAGATAAAATACTTATATAATTAAATCCTTATCATCACTCGCCTCATTATTCGCGCAAGATTGCTTTGCTTCACCGCCACTCAACGTTGTCGGCCATTGAATACCGCCGTCTTTGTTAGAAGGACATCGCCCACGCAACGATAAACAACGCAGCGATTTTGGGTCGAGAACCTGGAACTAAGTAGGTCTTGAAAGTAAAGTAAACTTTAGTACTCGATACTAGATTACTAAAGTACTCGATTCTTTAACAATTTTTTTGCTCCCACTTGTGTGTCACTCTCGCATCGATCACATCGCCTTCCCATCGCTTCTCCAGCACACGGACATTGTCCCTTCGCATCGCACTCTTCCGATGTTGCACCCAATCCGCACTCGCATCCAATGCATCGTCCTCCCAGCTCCCAGAAGGCTTTCTGAAAATTTTGTTCTTAATGATTTATTGAACAGCAATTCGTATTCAGAAACTAAAATAACTCACTGGGCACAAGCATTGACCAGTTAGCGGATGGCATTGATCGATGAAACCCATATATTGTGAGCAATCACATCGACGACATTCTCCAAATCTTCCCCACCAACCCCGTGGGCAAACACGTAACGGTGCCAAGTGATCGCAATTTGGTGTACCGTAGCCTGGAAGTAATTGTTTAAAAGTCAGCTACAAGTCAGTCAGCTACAAGTCAGTCAGCTACAAGTCAGTCAGCTACAAGTCAGTCAGCTACAAGTCAGTCAGCTACAAGTCAGTCAGCTACAAGTCAGTCAGCTACAAGTCAGCTTCAAATATCTTTCACCTGTTGTACAATGACATTCGTATCCCTTTGTGGTGTTTGTTTGTTGACATATTCCACCCGAACAAACACCTTTCAGTGAGCAAATCGGATCGCACGAGGCTCCAGCGAATCCTGAAAGAATTTGAGAAGATAAGGACTGAACAAAATGTTGGATTCGGTACTGTAACTGAATGCAGCTTTAATTTGTCAATTTTTCTGTAATTTGTCATAACCAGCTTGTTTATAAGCTTCAGTTTTCAAAGAAAGATCAAATCTAACCCGTTTCACATTCACATTTGTGTCCTTCCCAAAGTGGTCGGCACACAGAGTTCTCTGGGCATGAACCAGCTTGGCAACCCTTTGTCGAGACGCAACCCTGTCGAACCTGAAAGTTTTCAAAATTTACTATATCATTACAGTTCTACAATATGTCAGAAAGTCTTCAATGACTGATTTTGTTTCACTTTTGAAACTGAAAAGGTATTTGGAAACCTTTATTCTGGCTTAGCTTACAGTATTGAAATCAAGCACCTTTCCAGATTGTTTCGTTTTAAGGTGAACACCATTTAGTTGAATCTCTTTCAAGCATCCCTCGAAACGGGATGGATGTGAGGATGAGGGAGCGATTCCCGAATAGAATGACGTCATTTCCTGATTTCCTCGAGTACCCAAGCGCAACGATTGTGTCATCGAGTAGATTCCATCGACGATCGTCGTCACCTCGTCAGCTTTAAATTCGACTTCGATCTGCAAAGAAACACAATTATTTACTCAATCTCTTTACCAGTTAAATGCTAAAGTTAAATGCTTTGGACCTTTATGCAAATTTTATGGAAATTTCAAAGGCGTTTGAGATAATCTTAAGCCAAGGATTACTGTAAAAAACTTAAACTGGAAAATATCATAGTACACTTGGAAGTCCACCAGTGGATCGTATCGTAAATGTGTTAAGTACTGTACTTGATTATATCCAGTTCTGTTTCTATTTCCGATCTCACCTTTGTCCAATGTCCTCTGGCTGCATCAGGGCACGGGATGTTTTGCGCTGAGTAGCCAATCATTGATTTCAATAGGCCATCTTCTAGCTAAAAATCTGAGAAATTATGTTTTTCATTGTAGTCATACCGCCAGAATATAGAACAGATTCTTGTCATCGAATTCAATCGCGAAAATCTGAGTGTCATCGCGAATCGTGCGGAACTCAAGCGACACACTGAATGGAATCGACGCCATTGAGGGCACCTGTAACAGTATTCTCTAACTACAGTCATCTCTAGCTACAGTAACCTCTAGCTACAGTAATCTTTAGACAGCTATAGACTTCCAGCTAATCTCCAGCTAAACAAACCTTCCAAGTTTGAAACGATTCCTCTTCACCCAATGTGATCTGCCTCAATCTCGACTTTTCCCCGTGACAATCACCGATTTGGTGATTGTAACCATTCGCACATCGACAATTATGACCCATCCATCTACAAATAAGTTAAAAGATTAGAATTCTATCCATTAGACTAAAATTGGGAGATACGTATACAATTGTAGGATGACTGCATCGCTTTTCTTTACCTATTCACACAATGTGCCCCATGTCCACAGGAAGATTCACGACAAAAGTCACGCTTTGGACCACAACCCTGAATTCTCAATGTCAATATTCTTCGATATGTAAACTTTTGCATTTTATTCACCTCATCAACTTTCCCAATCTTCTCGAAATCTTGCAGATTCGAAAAGTCGATCAACGTGGAATCAAGCGTGAAATTTGATAAGCATCCATTAAATCCATTCTCTACCTAAACAGGCTCCAGCGAAATTAGGGTTTAAATCCTAGAAAAGCAAAAGTTCTGATGAGAGTGGGATTCGAACCCACGCCTCCGAAGAGACCAGTGCCTTAAACTGGCGCCTTAGACCGCTCGGCCATCTCACCAACGAGGACAGGGGCTCACCTGGCGGCTTTTGTTGGGTCGACCGCCGAGAGAGAGGCCGGATTGAGAGTCGAAAAAGCGATGGCATTGAATGGATGGATCGAGGCATCTGGAGAGAGAAATGAGAAATTTGGACGGGGAAAGAGCTCCGGAAAATGGGAAAGGGCAAGAGGGATACTTGGAAATTGATAAACACAAAGATAACCAAAAAAATAACTTCAAAAGTTATAATTATAGAATTTACAATTGGATAAGCGAATTGCTTAGTCGATTTTGCTTTTATTTTCCCTAGTAGTGTACACAAAACATGGCTGCGTCTGTTGGAGGTCAAATTTTACACAAAACTAGTGTTACTTGAGTCTCATACTGTTTAAATACCATTCAGAAGCTAAATTGTAAGCTTTTTAAGTACTTTATCAATAATTTAATGTATGATGTATCGAAATAAATAAACTTTTAAATAATTAACTAAATAAATAAACTTTTAAATAATAAAACTCACTTTGCTGGTAGTTCAATGGTGGCCTGAGTCGCGCAATTCGGTGATCCAGCCGCTAAACGAGAGACAAACGGATCGCAATCATCCAACCAAAGAGTCAACGTCTAAAAAGAACATTTGATTGACTTTATCTAAACTTTTCAACACTGTAATTTGATCTAAATTTGAAAGCTTATTTGATATTTGATAGCTTTTGATAGCTAAGAGTGTTAACACTTATCTGAGTTATCTTAAGAGTGTTAACACTTATCTTATCACTTAGATTTGCAACTTGAAAGTTTGTAGACTTATTTATTGCACTTTTTAGAAATAACTAATGCACAATTCATTAAAAATCTATAGCTTTTATCAATAAAAATCCTTATTTATTCTTTAAAAAAAGGCTTTTGACAGATTAAGAAAAGCTTCGATTTTGTAGATTTGTAGATTTTAGATTTGTAGATTTCTAGGGGACATAAAGTTGAGGAACTAAAAAATGATGAACAATAGATGAAGCTATCATCAGATCGCTTCATCAAGCTGGCTTGCTCAAAGCGGAAAGCTTGCTGAAAGCTTGTCCGGGAAAGCTTACTGAATATCTTTGCACTTAATCTTCATGCTTTTTAGAATATTTAGAAGACTTAAAAAGCTTAATAAACAATAGCTCTAAGCTTTAGAAATTGATTTACTCTTGATATTCAGATTAAAATCGATAGTTCAATCAAAGCCTGACCCTCTCGAAATAAGTGATGGTCGCTGTGTGCCAATGTCCGTCATTTATTCGATTCTCTTTCTCGTCGCTCAATTCAACGAGTTTCGTTTGACCGCCAAGCCTAGATTTATAGAAACATTTAAACATATATATGAAATTAATTCTTATTGTTCACTCACCCAAATTCGGCTCTCAAAATCCGATTCTCGATCGACAACTCAAGGAAATCGGTTCGTCGATCCCCGACAAAAAGGATCGTGCCGGCTCGGGAAATGGTGGCAAAACTAGAAACAGATTTTTTTTTTGAAAATAGCTTTTAAGCAATACCAAGTAACTTGATTTTACAATGATAAATTGAAAATTTTAGCCATCTTTACCTGATCTTCAATGTCCAATCGATTCTGCTTGGGTTTTCATTGATCCGTAGCAGTGATTCACCTCCAAAGTGTACCGATCTGAGACGACATCTAGAAATATGCAAATTTAGTTTTTACAGTTATCATTTCTGGCTTTTTGAGTTACAAATTTTAAAAACAAGTTCTACAAGAGCTACAAAACTTTAAGCTATCAAATTTTTGAATTTCGGCTTTTTTAACACTTATCGTTTACTTACTACTTAGAATTAGAGGAAATTTGTTTGGAAAATAGCAATGATTCACCTTTCATCACTATCAATCGCTGAATGTCGACACTTTGTGCATTTCATTTTATGCTCATTTGTCACTTCACAAGTTGCCCCATCTTTACAATATCCCGGAAGGCAGTTTGCTACATTTGTCGAAATCTCGCAGTGTTTTCCTGAAAATCAGCTCAAATCTTTCTTTATAAAGTTAGCTTTAGATAGAGGCTAACTTTAGATTAGACTCTATTTTCCTTTAACAATTCAATAGATTCAACAATTCAATAGATTCAACAGTTCAATAATTTTCAATTTAATCTTCTTTAATCTAAACTTTGTAGGAAAAGTGTAAATTTGATGAATTGTTGAAGGAAAATAGAGGATTAAGTGCACCAGAAAACATAGGTTTTCCAGTACATTTTCCAGTACATTTTCCAGTACATTTTCCAGTACATTTTCCAGTACATTTTCCAGTACATTTTCCATTCCAGTACAAAAGATAGGTTTCCAGTCAAAACCAGATTTCAGTACATAAAAACTAGAGAGCTTAAGTCAATCCCCAAAGGTTTTTCCCCAATTTTCATATTAGTTTGTTGTGTGTGGCAAATCGGAGGCGTCTTATTTGGATCCTTCAAGAAGGAATCGCGTGTCTATTTCTTCTCTTTTTACCATTCTCTTTTCATCTAACAAGTCCTAATTGCTCTTTTCTTCATTTCCAATCGAAAAACAAATGCATAAAAGTGTGACAAACTAATTGATTGGGAGGATTCAGGGGAAAGTTTGAAGAAAAAATCGACAAAGAATCGACTTACAATGGAAAGCCCTAGTTTCCCCCATGGTTCCTATATTCAAATTCCCAATTTAATCTTCCGTAAACTGTGTAGGAAAAGTGTAAATTTGATTCTCAAAATTCCCCCCTTTCGATCCTAACACATTTACCCGCCCAAACCAAACTATTTACCACGATTGGCAGAAAGAAAATTACGGATCGGCTAAATTAGGGAAATTATCTAGAGACGGGATTCCTTTTATGTCTTTTGACTTAGCTTCTTTCTTCTCTTCTCTTCCCTTCTCTTCTCTTCTCTTCCCTTCTCTTCTCTTCTCTTCCCTTCTCTTCTCTTCTCTTCTCTTCTCTTCTCTTCTCTTCTCTTCCCTTCTCTTCCCTTCTCTTCCCTTCTTTGCTCTTCTCTTCACTTCCCTTCTCTTCTCTTCTCTTCTCTTTTCTAAGGATTCTCTAAGAATCCACTTTTGGGTAGAGGTGTCAACAATTTAGCACATCCCCATCAAGACACAAAATCTCATAAGCATAATAATTTGATCAGACCTACTTTGGCAATAACAAATGAAATGGCTATGCAACTCTAAATTTCTTTAAACAAAAGAGCAATGGGTTTTTTTATTTGAAAATTTCAATTCCTTTTCTACAATGGGCACATTTTCGAAAACTATCGTAATCTTGACTCTAGTTTTTTTAAAATCTAAACTTTTGATATCTTTCTGTGAATTTGCATGTTAATACTTTGGTAGAAAAAAACTTGACTGGTTTTGGTCGTTTAAATTTTACTTGTTTTTTGCTCCTACCAATTCTACAGCCTTAAATTTGATCCCTTTCCTTTCTCTTGAACTCACCATTTCCGAATGAGAAAGGCTCATTGAAACAAGAGAAAAGAAAAGAGAAAAGAGCCTTGAAAGAATCCAAAGGGTGTCCCAATCCATTATTCAAAAGTTTAATTAAAGTGGCACCAAAGGGAAAGTGGAGAAAAGAGGGCAATGGCCCATTCATGTGCAGTCATTCACGATGTTGCGTAACAAGAGCCTCAATTCTTTTCTTTTTCCTGAATACTCTCCGAACACAACACTTTTACCACATTTCGTGTGTTCTGAAGTACTAGGCTATGGAAAAAGTGAAAGAAAAGAGAAAGAGGGTAGACTTTGGGATTGGGTAAAGGTTTGGTTTTATTTAGTACATCAGATTTCATATAAAGCTTAAATCTATAACCGAATCATAAAGCTTGCATCGACAATTCAAATAAATATCTCTGTATTCGACAGCATACTCACACTAAGATATTTAGCTGAATACTTTAAAGTTTACAGCAGACACTTACGGTTTTGAATAATGTAAATGGATTTAAATGGATATAAAGGGATATAAAGGGATCTACAGGGATCTAAAAGGATCTAAAGGTATCTAAATGGATCTACAGGGATCTAAAGGGATCTACAGGGATCTAAAGGGATCTACAGGGATCTAAAGGGATCTAAAGAGATCTAAAGGGATTTAAATAGATCTAAAGGGATCTAAAGGAATCTAAAGAGATCTAAAGGGATCTAAATGAATCTAAATGATATCAACTCACCAATCCATCCATTCTCACATTCACATCGATACCCATTCTCAAGCGGGAAACAGCTTCCATTGTGCTGGCACGGTCCCGAAAAACACTCATCAACTCGAATATCGCATTTATCGGCTTTATCGGAAGAACCTGAAAAAAACTTCTGGAGTAAATAGTAAATAGTTCACTAGTTTCTCCCGGCTATATCCTTGATAAAGAAACCAACTACAAACACAAAATTTTCATAGATAATTTGAATTTGAATTGTTGTAAGATCTTTCCATAGCAAGCTATCCCTTTACTAGCTGTACTTTGTGTTAAAGAAGCTAAAAACGCATTCATTCTAGTGCACCGAGCTCTTTGATAGTTGATAAGTTGAAGTAGAGGTTCTCGTTGAACATTTAATTCTCGATCCCTTTCTCCAACCCTTTCCTTCTGGTCATTCCGGTCGTTCTTTTCCTTATCCATTCCATTCAATTAGTGTCGAGCGGCCATCAAAGTCCCTTTTATGTGCTCTCTTTTCACTTTCGAATGCTAATTATGTCGAGTAGTCAAATGCAAATGTGTCACCACCATTTCTATTACCCAATGGTATTGAAAGAAAGGTTTGAAAAGAATTTTTAGTTCAAATATAGATAACTACTCACATAAAGACTAGAAAAGATGAAACAAAGCTATAATTTTACAATTTTTACAAGAAAAAAACTAACTTGCGAATCCAGGCGGGCATTCACAGACGTGCGTCTTTAATGTCTTCAACGAGTGCGCCAAAAAGTTGTCGGTTTGGTGAAACTGAAAATAGTAGTACAACTCAGTACATTAGTACAACTCAGCGGTGGGTTGTATCGTCGTGAATCTGTTATGAATGTCAGCCTTGAATGTCAGCGTTTACCTCATTCCCCACAAACTTCAGCGTATCTCGACATCGTTGATAATACGAACAGGGTTCATTCGAACATGAATCCGAATCGAAAATTCGAATGTCAAGGAGACTAAGTGAGGAGAGTTTGTGAAAGAAGCCAGAGATCAACTCAGAGACTGTTGTGCTGCTAAAATTTAAGCTGTTATAAGCTGTTGTTATAAGCTAAGCTTAGATTTCGATTCGGTTTACCCAAACCAGGTTGAGATTCGAAATTTTAAAACCTGAACTTTTCTAGCCTTTTCTAGCCCATTTGTTTTCCCGTTAAACTTCGATAAATTGAAATTTTAGTATCTCAACCGGAAAATTTCATATTTGGTACGAAAAGACTGCCTGTTTAGGTGTTTGGTAGTCTAGATTTCTAAAAAATGGCCGTTTTTTAAAATTATGTTAGACTACAGTAGTTGTAGACTATGCTAGCTTTCTAAACAGTGCCTTTTTCGAATAATCTTCTCAGTTTTTCCCTCGTAAACTCTGAATTCCCATTCACATCGCGTATCCCGTGCAATTTCTAATTTCCCTCTTGGGATCTTTGATTCTTCTTCGTCTTTTCGTATTCCCCAAACTTGACTGAGTATCTTTTCTTGACTTCTTTCCCCAATTCTATATGCAAATCGAGTCATTGACAGCTGGCAAAAAGGAGAACATTTCCTTCAAACACATACATTTTTCACGTTGAAATTTGTAAGTGACAAGTTTATAAATTTAAATGTGAATTTCAAAATTGGATTTCGATGGATTGATTGCGGTAGCTTAGATGCCTTTTAGAAAACGCATTAGCCGAATGGAAAGCTCTCTAGAGGTTTCTTCGAGTCACCAAAGTCACAGGCTGACTCTTCGAGTCACAGGCTTTGCTTTGGCGGGGGACCTTGGACTCTCCACAAAACGTAATCTTATCCTTTATGACATTGAATTAGTTTTCACAATCTTTCAAATGTAATAAAGAAGTGAAGGAATCGAGAAAGTATATTTTCGGAGGATCGAACCCTAGACTTTTCGCTTTCCGATCGAAAGGTCTAGGGTTCGATCCTCTCTCCAGTTCGATCCTCTCTCCAGTTCGATCCTCTTCTCCAGTTCGACCCTCTTCTCCAGTTCGATACTCTAACCACTGAGCTACCCGGTACCCGGATTTGTCAAGAAAAAGAAAAAAAGATGTAAGCTACCTTTTGGTTTTCAACCCCTTCAACAATTTATTTTCTCAAACTATCAACAGATTTTTGAGTGTTGCCTCAAGGATAATGGGATTCTCATGGAAAAGACAAGAAAGGGTTCATTCCAAATATTGCGCCACGAAACATCTGTCCACTATTGTTGAATTGGAAAGACAAGGGAAAAGAGAAGGAGGAGAAGGAGATCATTGTCATTATTGGATCTGTTTCAGTGATCCGATCTGCTCTTTTTCTGTCTACAACACCTGGTTGATTCATGAAATAAGGGAAAAGTGTGTAGTACAATATTTCGAAATAATTTTCACCAATATACTTGCTCAAAAAGGTAAACACATCCTTTCTGACGGACTCTATTGTAAAATTCTTGTAATAAGCCAGCATGTTTGCCAATTAGATTCTAAAGTCGAATTTCCCGAGATCGAATCAATGATCTTTCAAACGATAGCCAAGATTTCTAAGCATTCGATCAATTGGACAAGCTTTCACTGACAGAAAAGTAAAGATTTCTGTGCAAGGATGTCGATTTTTAAGCCCAAACTAACATCTAATTCTTTACCTAACAATTCTCCCTCGATCCAAAATCACAAATGAGATCTCCGTTGATACATTCGATCCTTTTTTATTGACATGACAATCACCGAGTTCTCCGCCCACATCGAGAGAGAAGCGATTGATTGTCTGAAAGAGAAATAGTGATTTGAAATTTCAATAAAACCTTTCTAATCTGGTACCTGAATCTCTTGAAAACGTCTGGATCAAGGAAATCATCTACAGTAGTCGACTTTAAGACTACAGTCACTGCTTCAGAAAGCCATCGTTGCGGAATAGCCGAGTAGAGTAAGCGCAACGGGTTGCACACTGTGTTTACTCCATCTGAAAGTCACTTTATGAAAGTCACTTTGTTCTTTCAAAACTATGATTGAACAGAGTTAGAGTTAGAGTTTAATTAATCCAACTTTTCTTTTTGGGTGATCTTTTGAACTGTTTGATTTGATGTTTGATTAATTTAACTTTAAACTTTAAACTTTCCAACTTTTCTCAACTACTTTAATCTCTTTTTTTTATCTAATATCTAACAATAAGCATTCCTTTTTTACTTTACAAAGTCACAAAGATGATTGGATAAAATTAGAGATTATTGTAAGTCTGAAATTTTAAGTTTACAATTGTTTTTTAAAAGTTGACAAAAGAAAGCGATTGCAGACGGGAAATCAATCCAGAATTGAGCTTTATTTAAAAATTAAAGATTAATGATTAAAGATTAAAGATTAAAGATTAAAGATTAAACATCTCTATTGCCTTTTTCTTTGATTTATATTTAAAGACACTCACCACTAACGCATGCTTTCAAAATTGTATCAATATTTCGCTTCCACGAGCCTTTGAGTGAGATTTTTCCTGAATATCGATCAACGATCATTAAATCGTTTGACTCAATCGAGTACTCCAGAGTCGCATTTTGATCAGGATCACTGGAATTGTGGATATATTAGGTTGGTGCAGATGAAACTTCCGTCACACTTGTTTGTTTACATTTTGAACCTAATAAAAGTTTTTATTGAAGATATTTGTCTATCTGAAAGAGCGTCTCTTTGCGCGTCTTTTGATATCTAAGACTTATGCGTTTTACTTAATTTGAAGTAATTTTTAGCTTCTAGAAAATGGTTGACGAAAAATTTCGAGTGCGGGTTTGCTTGTTGTATGATTTTAAACAAGGCAGAACGCCTACGGAATCTCATCGTGCTCTGTGCAAAGCATTCGGCGATGACGTGTTGTCCGAACGTCAATGCCGGACTTGGTTTCAGCGCTTCCGAGACGGTGATGAGAGTTTGGAAGACGAAAAACGCGGGAATCCACCTCAAATTGTCGACAACGATGAGTTGAAGAACGCTATCGAATCGGATCCATGCCAAACAACTCGGGAGCTTGCAGAGCTGTTTGACTGCGACCATACAACCATTCTCCGCCATTTGCACGCAATTGGTAAGACGAATCGGTGTGGAAAATGGGTGCCACATCAGCTCAGCGACGCAAACAAAGCGACTCGAGCTACAATGGCTGGAATTCTCGTCCGCCGCGCAAAGACCGCCGGTTTTCTCGACTCCATTGTTACGGCAGATGAAAAGTGGATATGTTACGACAACACAACAAGAAAACGGCAGTGGTTGGACGCCGGTGAACCGCCAAAACCGACTCCCAAACCGAATGTCCACGGAAAAAAGGTGATGCTTTGTATTTGGTGGAATAGTAAAGGTCTCGTGTATTTTGAGGTGCTGGATTCGGGCCAAAGAGTCACGGCGGATCTCTACAAAGCCCAATTGGGCCGTGTGGACCAGGCATTGCGTCGTCAAGGCAATAACACAGCGACTACAAAATTCCTCCACGATAACGCTCGACCCCACACCGCAAAGATCACCCAGCAGAAAATCGAGGAATTGGGCTGGGAAGTTCTGCCTCATCCGCCATATAGCCCGGATTTGGCCCCATCCGACTACCACTTGTTTCGGTCGATGCAGCACTCTCTAGCAGAAAAAAAAATTCAAAAACCGCGAAGAAGTTGAAATCTGGGTGTCCAACTTCTTCGAGTCGCAGTTGCCCGAGTTCTTCGAAAAGGGCATCCATTCTCTGCGTGGAAGATGGCAAAGAGTCATTGATAATGATGGCGAATATCTTTTGGATTGAGGTTCTGTATTAGGATTTTTATAATAAATTTTGTGTATGGTTCCAACGGAAGTTTCATCTGCACCAACCTAATAGTAAAGAAATAGCAAAGCTAAAGCCCAAATCCATCTAAACAAGAATCAATAATCTGCCGACAGGATTGAACCCTTTGCCTTTTGACTCCTGACTACTCTTAATTTCAGAGAACTCTTAACAAGTCGGTCAAGATAGTATAGGATGGCCAGCCATAGCCGTTCCCCTTCCAATACAAACTCACGGTGCCGGGACCGATCCAATCTTCTCAATAATCGGTCCATCTAAGAAACGATTAATCAAGAGAACTGATGATCGCAATGTTGGTGGATGATCATTGGCATCAGAGACATGGACACGAACGGCAATTGCCGATGAGAGTTGGACTGCTAAATATCGGGATTTTCATCGTAAATCTTGGTACTATAGTATTTGGGGGTGAATGGGGATTTGTCATATGCAAATTCTTAAGCCAAAAGTGTCCAAACAACCTGGACGCTTGAACCTTCTAAGCTGAAAGCGTCTGGTCTTGTCCTCGTAGTCGAAAGGTTAAGCGCCGAGAGCAGTTTCCCACGACTCCTTTCGGAAATGAATTTCGAAATTTGCATTATTTATGAAATTTGAAATAATCTTTAAGTTTAAATTTCATTTTTTCTACTCGTATTGGATCCGATTCGAGCTCAAAGAGCATCGAGCATCTGTACCGCCAAAGACACGAAACTCGATTCCTCTCAGCATTTGATCCCTGAGAAATAGCTATTGTCAATGTTTTTTCTATTATGTTATTTAAACTTACTGAGACATATATATCCAGTAACAAAGTCTATATAAGCCTATAACGGAAGCCTATAAGTCTATAACAGTCTATGTTTCCATCACAGCCTAGAAGCCTATAACACAAAGTCTATGGGTCGATAACAAAGCCTATCAGCCCATAACAGCCTATAAGCTCATTCCCAGCCTAGAAACCTTATAACAGCCTATAACAGTTTATCAGCCTATAACAAAGCCTATATAATACCTTTGCTATATAGTAAATTTTAATTACACTATTCTTTTTATATAAACGATTTTGAAAAACAAATTCCATGAAAAAGCATCAAGAGTTTTCATTTTTAACTATGGAAATTAGCAGTGTAGACGAATTTAAAGACAATTACTATATCAAATTGCATGAATTATACTTTTAGGATTTAAACTTTTACCTCTATCAGGATCCGCCGTGGCGACTATTGTGCCAACAAGGTGCCTGCCGGGAGCATTCCTCCGCCATCCACAAGTCGAAGATGATTGCGAGAATTTTGGCGGATGATCGTTTACATCCTGTAAAGATATGAATAGATTTGATCGAAACCTGGTAATAAAAATTGGGCCAGTTAAAGTCTCTAACTTGAAAGTTATTCAAGAAAGTCCAGGATCTGGCTTCTGACCTTCTGCCTGGGTTGAACTAGCTGATGTCTAGCTGGCGAGAAGTTGGAACCTTGATCTCCCAACTAAGATGCAGAGCTCGTAGCCAGTCAGTCAGGCAGAAGTCAGCGCAAAATAAAGTTGGCCTTGATTTTACCTGTAGCATGACGGTGATGATAGAGTTGGCGCTGAGTGGTGGACTGCTACGATCTTTTCGCGTACACCGGAAGGGTGATTCAAAAGAGATATTTTGGAAGAGGTTTTTGTCACCCTAAAGAGATATTCTTGTTTTTAAAGCTAATGATATTAGGCTCCTGATTAAAAAGGTAGCTAGTAGATTGAATTTAGGAGCAAATCTAGAGGAATCTGGAGGAACGAGCAATCTGAGAACAAATCTAGAGCAAATCTAGATCAAATCAAAAATCTAGATCTTTAATATTTTTGTACTTTTTACAGACTTTCAGTACTTTTCTTTTTTTTCTTTCTTCGTTCTTTTTCTCTTCTTCTTCTTTTCTTTCTACCTTTCTTCATCTCTTTCATTTCAAAATCCTTTATCAAGGCTTTTGGCAAATAAGAAACAAGTCCTATTTCTTTGCGCTTTCTCTTTCATATATAGTTAGCATTGATTTTCCCAAGAAAAATAAAGTCATTCCCCACCCATTCCGGATGCCATTTTTTCTTCGCCCGTAGGCACCCCTGCAAATCGGCTCCTCCCTTCACTCCATTTGGGTCCTTTGAGGGAAATTGCAAATGAGAAATTTCTGCCATAGTATTGGTTGGATAAAGGGAAAGAGCTAAAAAGATGCAAAAACAGACCCATTTTCGATGTGGAGACAGGAATGGGATTTTTTTTGACTTTTGCCAAGTCCGTTCATAATTTCAGGCCATAATTTTCGGGGCAAGTATAAAAGAAAAACGTTTTTGGATCTTAAAGAACTAGAAGAATTATGAGCTTGGTGGGATTATTTGGCAACTAGTAATGTAAATAACTTTTTGGATACAGAGAAATTTAAAGCTTGTCAGCTGAATTTGTTTGAATTTCTCAAATATTCGGGGTTAATTATTTTTATTTTATTGCAAAGGACTGGCAAAAGCAAGTTCAGAAGGAAATCTAAGAAGCCAAAAAGCATGGGGATTGTAAAAATTAGGAAGTTAGAAAATGATTTCTGATGATTTCTGATGCTTTTGACGTTGATAGGTTGTTCCGCTTTCTGAAAAAATTCAATTTCTTGATTTTTGAGCAATATTATTTTCATTATTGAAGTTTTGGGAAAAAGTGGGTAAATTTTTGTCATGAATTTGATTCTTTTTGATTTGAAATTCTGGCGACAGATAGATTTGGGATCGACAGACTTTTAGATAGACTTAATAGATAGATTTTATAATACGATTTTCATCAACTCACATTAGCAACTTCTTTCTCATCCAATTTTTGATTGACTGAAAAGTGTGCCTGAGGGTTCTTCTCAAGTGAAAAAGCTCAGGCCTTGATGCCACTTGCATTCCAGGAAATAGTCGACAATCCCATTCATTCCACTATCTGTATCAGTGGCCATGATCTGTAATTGTCCAAATATCCCATTTTTTAAAGAAATCATCATGTATAGAAATCTTGGAATCAAGCAAACAATCTTTTGAATGAGAAAGTTTGAGCCAATCTACCTTTGGGATCAGTTATCGTTTCGTTTTCGGTTTCATTTTCCTAGAAAAAGCTGTATATGTTTTTTTTGAAGTTGTAGATAACTACAATTACAGTATTTCTTTATACTACAGTACTAATTTATGTAATAGTTTTCACATAATACCGTGAATAAAGTTTAGAAAAGCAAAATCCAGATCTCAGTGATTTGCTAAGGATTGAGGTAGCTTTTATGAAATCGAATAGTACAAAAAAAGTTCATCTAAACTTAGATCTTCATTAGAATAGAATGTCTATATAGCTGTTATGTAGCTGGCTATGGGGGGGATAGACAGGTACCAAGGGTTGCCATAGCCTACCGTGGATTTCATTGTTACCAAGGGGTTGCTGTAGTTTATTGTTAGCTCATCGTAGCTTACTGTTATCTTACTGTATTTTGATTGCAGCTTCTAGAGTTATTTTGGATCGCTACCAAGGGTTGCTGTAGCGCATTTTGAGCTCCCATCAGCTTACTCTTTGCTTCATATCGTAGCTTACTTTAAAGGAGCTGTAGCTTTTACTTTAAGCTTACTGTAAGCTTACTGCTATTTTTACTGGTACCATCTGATGCTGTATTTTATTGGTTAGCTTTCTACTGTTAGCTTACTGCGCGTTTACCGTAAGCCTAATACTGTACTAGTTCTTTGCTAATTTCAATAAACCTTATTGTAAATGAAAATTTTGCAACGCTTGATGAATGAAGGAAGGATTTAACAAATTGTGCACAAACATTTGCATTTAACAATGGGAAATTTGTTTTCCGAATTTTTCTCCAAAAAATTCCTTCTTAACCTGTATAAAATGACGTGCCGATTTATGATATCCTCCAAACAGTGGTCATATATAATTTTTGTGAGGAAAATTCTGGGAGCATTATCGTTCTACTGAATATCAAGTATTTAAATATATATATCTATTTTTGGATCTCTAAAATCTATTAACGAAATTTTTACCTTCCACATTTCTTTTTCCATTTCCCTAAAAGAGAGATCCTGCAGTGGGATAATTTCTCTTCACTCTGAGACATTTTAAAATATGCTAATTTCTCCTCTACATTGGAATGCCTTTCAAATAAAAACCCCGATATTGAGCGTTCAAAGGGGGAAGAAAAGAGCATTAGGATCAAGAATCGCTTAATGGAATTGAAACCGCCTTCTAACATGCAGAACATTTTTTGCTCTGGTTTCCGGTGAGCTCAAAGCCGCCAGCACCTGCTTGAGCACCTAATCCCAATCCTATCAATTTTTCGAAGCTAAAAACTCATGTGGGCGTTTCGGCTCTTTTCGGAATCTTATAGTTAGTAGAAAAGTCAAACTCAAAATCACCTCATGGGACAAGGCCAGACACCCAAGCCTAATCCTGACCTCCTCTAGCTTTCCCTCCTAGCTCCTAGCTCTAGCTTTACCCTGGTTCCCTGTCCCTTGGCTTGACCTTAGCTTGAACTCTGGCTTGACTTTGTAGCTTGACTCCTGGCCTTTTCTATGATCCTGATCCTACCTCTAGCCTCACCCTGACCCTAGCCCATCTAATCCTAAGCCAGCATTCATTCTTTAAATAATTAACCAATCAAATTTTAAATGGAAACAATAGAATTCTTTTCCTGTTTCCTAAAACTACAATCTCACTCTCCTGTCAAATTGTTGTCTATTTCCACTCAAGAGATACTGGAATTCTCGGTCTTATAGCCTCATTATTAGAATCATGGTATGGGAGAGAATGAGAATTTCCCGGTAAATAGGTGGTGATAGCCATTTTTGGGAGGCTGCCTTTTAGTCTTTTTGATGATTGAGCTTGCTGCCTTTTGAGGACAAAAAGCATCCAGACATCCCCCATTTGTTCATATTTGTACAGTTGCTCTCTCATTTTTCATTTTGAGTCATTTCGCATTAAGGAAAGAAGAAATTAGTGACGGAATTAGAGGAAATGCGTGAAAATAATCTGGGGCTGGTGGTGGAAAAGCTGGGAAACATTGGGAGTTAGATTAGCTAGGGTTATTTTTTTTCCACTTCAACAGTTTCATTTACGCTCTTAAAGTCAGTTCCCATTTCTAGTGCATTGTTGAATGCCATGTGGTTGCACAAAAAGTATTTTTTCATTACAAACCGTCATCCAGGAAAATCCTTTCTGATGATTGTCGACGAGCTGGAGTGGAGGATCATTGAGTCGGTAGCAGTTACAGTTAGATTCAAAACAAGAATATAGCCATAGGACATGTCGGTCTTTTATGGGGGCTGCCGGTGGACAAGACAAAAGCAGCTGGCGGATCTTGAACCCGCCGCCTCGGGAAACCACGATCGCTTACGCTCTACCAGTTGCGGATCTCACCAGCTCCCCACCAGGCGAACGCTCTACCACACGAGGCTGATTTGGGTGCCGCCAGAGTAGCTTCATCCTTTACTGTACAATTCCTATTGAGGTCAACCACTCAATTCCCCCAAGAGGTTTTTCACTTCTTCTTCTGGGTGGAGTTAAGGCAAGCCATTGTGAAGCAGAAGAGTTAAGGCCAACTATTGTGAGAGTTTTAAAGCCCACCTATGATTTTGCTTTGCTCTTCTCGGTCCACGTTTTCAGCCTACTGTAATTCCTCCAGTCACATTGTTGATCTCGAAAAGATCAGAGTCAATCGAGTAGTGGATCTCAGCGTTGTCACCGCTGATCCTGTGTCTTCAGCCTAAAGTCAATCATATTAGCATAATCTAAACTCTATAATTTGTCTTTTAGAATGAAATTAGAACGAAATTTTCTTGCATACCCTGACAATGATCATCACTTGATTTCCACCATTAGGGAATCTCTTGTGGATATGTAATGGCAAATTGCTGTGGTGGGGAACGAGGCGGAGAGTTCAATACCAGTCACCTGGATTTGAATAGATTCACATTTAAAACCAAATTTTTATTCCTTCTTATTCTTAAATCTCCAACTCATGAATATTGATCGGTACAAGTCCCTTTGGGTTCTCCATCGTTCGACGCGGAAATAAACGATTCTTCAAAGGGAGTGATCTGTCGGTCGTAGCGTTTCAGAAAGCGAAAGAAGAGCACCCTGGAATCAAATATTTCATTTAAATCGGGAAAAGAAAACATTTGACTAGTTCATTCTATTTCATTTATCTCCCAAATCGATGAGTGCCACTAAAACCATATCCTCGATCGGGACGCTCGCCGATTCGATAGAAAAGTTTCGGTTCTCGTCACGATCTTCGGCGCAACGATGGCTATCTGAAAAGTTATTGATTTTAAATCTACATTATCTAACGTACTATAGAAATTCAAGTAGTCAAGAATTTGCTTAAAAAATAGATTAAAAGATGATCAAAAAAGATGATCAAAAGCTTGATCCTGTATTTTCTGTAAAGTAAATAAAGCAATTCAATATTAAGCAATAGCTTAAAATTAGCATTTTATAAGCATTTTATAAGCATTTTATATAAATCTACTTCAAGTGAAATTCTTTTTTTCGGGAAAACTGGATCTTTTTTCACCAACCTGTGGCTCCAATTTGTGTCCCCTCAGAAAGAGTGACATCTATTTCTGCGGGTCGAAAAATCGGCGCATTATCGTTGATGTCTCGAACTAAATTTTATTGTCGGTACAGTAGTGGCAATGTGGTTTTAGGACAAAAAACTATTCATGCCATATTTTCAAAGCATAAAAAAGATTAATGAGCATAAAATATGGGAAAGGAGTCTAAAATAATATAAAAAAGCATAAATAAAGCATAAAATAAAGTATAAAATAAGTATAAAATAGCATAAATCAGTATTAAAATAGTCTCCACTGGCATAAATAGCATAAAATAAAGATAAAAACAGCATAACAGCAACAGTTATAAAATAGTTTCCAACAGTATACAATAGCATAGAAAAGCATAACAGTAGACAAGAGCATGTTAAGTTCAAAATAGCATAAATTCATAGGAAACTGCCTCCCCTAAATTTTTTCCTGCGTTCCAGTTTTTTGCCGAGGTCAGATCTGTCCGCGGCTTTTACCTACAAAAAAACGATGAGATTGGGGGGAAAATCTTTTGTTAGGGTCGAGCAGATTTCCGTATTTAAAGATCGGGTCAACAATATCTGGTTAGATAACAGGCTTATCAACGTTCCAAATCAGAAAACACTATTCCCACCTCCCGCTGTGCTATCTTTGCGTCTTTTCCGGTCAAGAGTTTGCCGGTGTAATAATATCGCTCTTTTCACCAGACCGATTTCAAAATCTCGATGAGCCTTAAATAAAAATCGATTGAACATATGCCCATCTAGCCATACCTAAATCATAATTCATCTGGACTCGCTCGAAAAGTCCAATCACGGTCGACCACGAACCAGAGCTGTTGGGGGGGGCGGGGGGGGGGGGGGGGGTGTGTGTGTGTGTGTGTGTGTGTGTGTGTGTGTGTGTGTGTGTGTGTGTGTGTGTGTGTGTGTGGCCTTGTCAAGTAAGTTAAGCAGTTGTTGCGCCCAGTTGAGCAGCCAGCGCGCGCCGGGGCAAAAAAGCACTCTCAGCGAGCATAGTACACAAGCAAGCCTCGCTGTTGAGACAGTCAAGACAGCCAAAGTTGTCCTACGAAGTGACTTGCCGACTACTAATACTTATATTTATACAGAAATCGTCACTCTAAAGAGTATCGGAGTTTCCCGTTTACTTCTGAGTCTTCACAGTCGCGTAAACCCTGGCCACCTCTTCCCTTCTTTATCCCCTCATCAACCAGCACCGATTTTTGAGCAGCAATGAAGCGGTAGCTCCAAAAGTGTTACAGTTACAGTAATCCAGTCAATTTTTCACATGATCACGAGTATCCCAAAATTTCCAGACTCAGTGTCGCTGTGGTGGAGAGCGCTGTGTTGAGCGCTGCCTTTGCGCGAACGACGAATTTTCGGATCCTGCTTCGGGCATCAATTTTCTTCGCCGAAGTGTTACCTGAAGGACCATTTTGTTTTTAAATCTCGTATAGGCTAGACTTCATAGCTATTATAGCTGCCATTAGTACACCAAGGTACATTGGTAAAGTTGATAACTTAGGACACATTATATCACAGCTGATGGACATAAACAGTTTCTGGCAGACTTCTCAGAACTCTAGATACTTCTAGATATCCTTAGCTTATTTATAGAGAAACTTTCACCTCTCTCCAGTCTTATAATCAATATGGAGAATATCGGATGAGGTGATCCATTCCATAGTGAACTCTTCCCATTTGCTCCATTGTCCAAATCGGTGGTTTTCAAGCGAGCTACTACCACTGGGATCGTTGTGTCCTCGAGTACAGTGATGTCGTAGTTTGACTGAAAAGTTAGAGCTCTAGATTGGACTGCAATTGGATAAGGAAATAAAGCTCCATCCTGGTAACAATGGAATACGGTAGAGCGTTGTCCTCAATAAGCCGCGAGATCGCAAGAGGTCGCGGGCTCTAATCCCGGCGCCAACTATATTTTGTCTTCCAACCCAGGCCCAATTGGGTTTGAATGCTTTAAAGCTCACCCCACTTCTTGAATACTCGTAATGTCATTGAATACTAGTGCATTTAAGATAACCACACCCACTGGTACCTGTTCAAAACAGGCGCATTATCGTTCACATCATCGATAGTGACTTCAATGAGAGCTTTCGATGAGAGCTGGGGTTTAGCCTCGATCCGAGGCGATCACGTTGACTCTAGAAGTACGGTATTATGACGGAGTACGGTATTATTACGGCATAATATGCAAATTCAGATGTAAATTTTAAACTACTTTATCAATGGCAATGTCTCTCGGTCGAGCGCGGCCGCCGTTTGAATCACCCCAGATTTGGGGTTGATTTGAAGGAGATCTGAGCTCAGCCTCTTCCAGAGAATAGACAACCTAAAGGTTTAGAATTAGATAAGGATTAGAGTTTAAAGAAATGCGCAATAGATAGATAGATCGATGAAAGTACTGTCTTTGAAAAGCAAACCTCTCCATTCGCACCCGCATCACGATCCCGGGCAAACACTGAGACAACAGTGGTTCCGATCTGAAATTAGGCTTTTGAATTTTCAATTTTGCACTTAATTCCATATTTTTCCAACTTTCCACTTATTGGATTTGGAATTTTAAGTCTTAAAAACTTGATTTTATATTCTGTAATGAATAGCTTCATTTTTTCTGACTTTTCAACTTTACAATGGCGGCTTTTGAACTCTGATTCTTCATCCGCTTGTTTTTACTCGATTACTTTATAAACTCAGTCAATCTGGTGCACTGCAATTTGTTTTCTTACAGATTTTCTTTGATTAAGCAATTACCGAAAGCATTCAATGCTAGAAACGGTTTGTGTTTAGCTTTTTAAGCTCAAACTATTCAATGATCGCTTTCTTTTTCATCTTACTACTCTTTTTTTAGGGTTTAGATTGTATCTTTTTAAGGCAAATGAACGAGATGTGAATGAAAGAAGCATGGGACAGATGGATGACCCTATCGAGAAAGAGAAAGGATGGGACAAGGGCACAAGGGGACAAGGGTCTCCCCCGGTCACATATTGCATATTACAGGCAACTCTGGACCCTCCCCAATACACATACTAATTGCATTATTTGTCCCCGACCCTTGGGGAAAGCGAAAAGCCTTTTATTATTCAAAATGAAACCCATCTTGAAGCTAATTTCTCTCTGGAAATTTGTTGGCTAGAATGGTGGCTAGAATTTTTAGCCAACAAATATTCCTAGCAAATGATAGATTAGGATTTGAAAGATATAGAAATATTAAAGAAATATTAAAGAAATATTCTTGAACAGTTGAAAGTACTCTTTTAAATACTTCCAGAACTCTAGTACTTCTAGTTAAAAAGAACTTCTCAGTTAAAAGAACTTCTAGTTAAAAGTACTTCTAGTTAAAAGTACTTCTAGTTGAAAGTACTTCTAGTTAAGACGTTGAAAAAAAAAAGTACTTCTAGTTGAAAGTACTTCTAGAATATCGTACCTCTAAAGAGTATCGGATTTTCCCGGATATCGGACTAAAGAGTATCGGATCTTAACTTAAAGACTTAAAGACTATCGGATTCCTTCTGTCTCCTTATCAATCGACTATGATAAGTAATTGTAAAATAAACTAGATAAACATTGAAATATTATAGTTAACTCTTGATCAATAACAGTTTTTAAGTCAAGTTTTCTCGAAAAAAAGGTGTGGTTGGGTGAGAAGGAAGCCCCCAATTACAGGTAAAGGATTGAATGGAGGAGAGCGACGGGGAAAGCACCTGCCATGCTCCTCTGTGTTAGATTGGGGAAAAGACTCGTGAACTCTAAACTGGATCAAATACTAGAGATTGATGCTTGGCTTGTACTTTGTAACCATGTAAGTCTCAGTGGTGCATCAAAAAGGGTTCTTCTCCATATTTGAGCTCAACGTACACCCATTACGTTGTGTCTCTTTTTATGTAAACCGAAATTGGTGCCAACCGGCTGTCCCTTTTCCCCTTTTCCTCAAGCGGTTGCCGCTTTTGATCGATTTTCTGTCATATTACCCTTTTGCTTGAACTGACCCATAAACAGGAAATGTTCGCTCAGCTTTCAACGATATTACTTCGATTTTACTGAGTCTAAAGAATCGAGAGGAAATTAGACAAAAGCTCTATTTTAAATATATAAATAAGCTAAGCACAAAAATCTTTCTTATGTTTATTATTTAGATGTACTTGTTGATTAGCTGTACTTGTGATTAGATGTACTTGTTGATTAGATGTACTTGTTGTTTAGCTGTACTTATGATTAGCTGTACTTGTTGGTCTTATCTTTATTTAACCTTTTACTATTAGTGCTATAATGAAAGTTAATCGAATATCAAGCTAGCTTGAACCTACCGTAAATACTGTAATAGTACCCCACCCCCTCGTACAGTCGCGTAGTCGCAAAAGTTTTTAGTATTTCATTTTTTTCAAAGCGCCCGTACTTTCAAAAAAATGCGTTTTGGTATCAAAAAATAGCTGAAATTTAGGGCTATTTTTTGATACCTAAACGAGCATTGTAGCATAAACCAGTGTCGAGAAAAACTCGTTCCAAGCACTACGCAACACTCCGCACGGTCATTGTGGGGGTGGGGTACTATTACAGTATTTACGGTAAGTTGTTTTTACTTCTGTAAACAATAAGTACCTATCAGCTGAGTATCTAAATCGATCTGCAATTTGATTTTTAGTAATTATGTATTCAAAAGTGATAAGGAAAGGTCGATTGGTTGAACAAAATGAGACCAAAATAAGGCCAAAAATAGGGCCAAAATAAGACCAAAATGAGACCAAAATGAGTCTTAGCTCACTCGGGTATCCAAATCGTACTGAAATCAGTCTCAAGCTCAATTGCCTTGAAATCATATCATGTTAAGTAATATAAATTTTTCTCTAAACAATCTAGATGTTAGTTTTTTTTATTTTTTTAGAAACAAAATCATCTCAATTCTATGGCTTTCCCCAGCCTCTAGGTTAACAATGCGTAAATTGCGGCTTTGAATGGGTATTCACATGATGGAATGGATTCAGGATGGAAAGAGAAAGGAAAAAGAAGTCAAAAATGGGAAGAAAGCTACGAATTTTGAGAATGTTGAGGGAAATTTTAGGTAAAGTTTAGAGAATTTTAAAGATAGAGAGCAGAACTGTGACTTACAATTAGACAAGTCACTTGTTGCCTCTCATTGTTGCCTCTTAGCGTTACTGCATCGTTGCTTCTTAGCATTGCTGCTTCTTAGCATTGCTGCTTCTTAGGATTGCGTGAGGCCGCCTCTTAGCATTGTTGCCTCTTAGCATTGCTGCTTCTTAGCATTGCCTCTTAGCATTGCCTCTTAGCATTGTTGCCTCTTAGCATTGCTGCTTCTTAGCACTGCCGCTTTGCTTTGCTTTGCAAAAAAGCTGTTGCTTTCTAAATGTGCTTAAACAAACTGTAAAGCAACTTATTGTCAGTTTACAATGGCTTTAACTGTAACCTAATCCTAGAAAAGTTCTAATCCTTTCATTTAGTTCATCAGAATCCTTTACAACTCATTTCCCATCAAACTATCAGCCTAGTACTACTTTCCAAAGTACTGCTAAGCCCAGTAAATTACATTTACTACATATTTCCATTTCTTATACATAAATAACTTTCCCCAGAAAAGTCGCGTTCTCTCTTTTGATAGAGAAAAGAAAAGAAAACCTCGTTTTGGTTCTTTTTCTTCCCAAAAAAACACCCAAATACACACACATTCGATTACTTTTTTTGGAGTTGGAGAAAGTAGAGAATAGAAGTAAAGAAGTGAAGAAGTAACAATGAGATTTGTTTAAGGGAAAAGCTGTAAAC